CTCAAGAGTCTCCTCCAGCACCATAATTCAAAAGCATCAATTCTTCTGCGATCAGCCTTCTTTATGGTCCAGCTCTCACTTCCATACATCACTACTGGGTCACTACATCACTACAGCTGGCTTAGAGGAATGCTAAAACTTGAGTAATTACTGATCACAATTGTTGAAACAAATGCTTTCTTGTGTTTCATTTCTCTTGGCCTTCCTGTATCAATTAGTATGCCACTGCAAATTATACTGAAGTTGACCAAAATTGTAATGCTGCTCTGATATAGTGCCTCAAAATTGTGTGGGCTCTCCTCTCCCACCCTCACTATGAGAAAGGGGCAGGGGGGGTCTTTCTGTAGAGTGAGGCATTCTGGGAAAGTTGGCCAGCAGCTTGAAGTTCTGTTTAAAGTAACTTCCCAGTTTTCAACAGAACTTCCAGCCATTGTAGCAAAGCTGCTGTGCCCAGAATGCTTCACTCTGAGGAAGAGATCCTCTCCCTTGACACTTTCTCAAAGTAAGACAGGGGGAAACTGTGGGGCAATGGTGATGAGAGCTGCCATCACCTGACTGAGGCAGTGCATTTTCTTCCTCCATTTGGGTATCAGGAGAGAAATTATTGCAGAGCACAGACTGGACGGGATAATGTCTTATCCAGTATTCACACCTTACTTATCAAACAAACCTCCAGTGCAGGAACATAAGTGGGAACAGCTAAACCAAGTGCCTTTGCAGATTGGCAAAAGTACATCTAACTGAAGTTTAATGCTACTCATTTGAATACATAGGAAGGAAGCATCCATTCTGACTGGCTAAGAGTTTCCACCAGCGGCAGCCAATGTTCAGCATTCCAGCTGTTCTGCATTACAACTCACACCAGCCCCATGCATAGCCAATGGTCAAGGATGATGGGATTCTGTAGCCACCAACCTCTGGAGAGAACCACATTGTGCAGACCAGGGAAGCCAGGATAATCTCCAGTCATCTCATTTCTACTACACAAATGGCTGGAAAGGTAGTTAAACAAATTTCCATCTTGTGGGCTTCCTATTTGGAATCCCAGTTCACTGACCATTGAATCCTTATGGGATATCTTGCTGTGACGGCCAGTAGATGGCGCAACAACACACACAATCTGCTGTTTAGGCAGAGACCTCATTCATGGATCTGAATCACCTCCAACAGGCTTCTGATAGGACCTGCTCTTGCAGAAGCCACGCTGGCTCTGCTTCAGCACGGTTTGTTTTTCATATGCTTGGTTAGTTTATCTTTAACAACACTTTCCACTAGTCTTTCTGGGACAGACATTAAGCTAACTGGTCTGCAATTTCCAGGATCCCCCAGATTGGAGTTACATTGTCTGCTTTCCAGTCCCCAGGTATGGAGGCAGAACTGAGGGACAAGTTACATATTTTAGATAAGCAATTTTACATTTGAGTCTGATAACTTTTGGATGTATGCCAGCCAGACCTGGTGTTTGTTAGCTTTCATTTTGTCTATGAAGCCTAGAATGTCATCTCGTCAGAAACCACTGAGCTTGGGGGATTGCCGATCGGAAGGTCGGCCACACGACGGGGTGAGCTCCCGTTGCTCTGTCCCAGCTTCTGCAAACCTAGCAGTTTGAATGCATACCAGTGCAATTAAATAGGAACAGCTGCAGTGGGAAGGTAAACTGTGTTTCCCTGCACTCTGGCACTCATCACGGTCCTCTGTGCACCAATAGCGGTTTAGTTCTGCTGGCCACATGACCCAGAAAGCTGTCTGTGGACAAACGCTGGCTCCTTTGGCCTGAAAAGTGAGATTATTGCTGAACCCCCATAGACTGGACTTAACCGTCCAGGGGTTATCTTTTGCCTTTTTACTACCTGCTTCTGTTCCATGCACTACCCTTCCTGCAAATAGTTCCAGCACAGAGACTTGCCCTGTATCTTCCGCTGTGAAGCTGGGGCAAATAATTCATTCATCCTTATTCTCCTTTAGTACACATCTGACTACCTTGTCATTCAAGGTCTTACCATCCATTTGCTCTTTCCCTGCCCAGAAGGCTGTCTGCCACTCTGAACTCTTAAGCCTTGCAGCCAAAGGCTGGGGTGGATGGGAAGCTATACTGGCACATGCCCCACAGATGTACCTTAACCAGCCACTCTGGGAGAAGGGCAGGTGCCGTGCAGGACATTCAGCTTCTTTTACCTGTGAGAGAATTTTTCTTCTTTGGAACTAAGGGAAGGGGAAGAGAAAAATAATAATTGGGGATTCTGCTTTCATGAGCTGAACAAAACCCCTTTACTGGGCATCAGGGCGCTTGGTATCCTAGCAACATGACCCTGGATACAGCTATGAGGAGATGCTCATCTTCTGGCACCCTCCTCTCCTTGCTCTTTCATGTCTTAGGGCATCCTTCATGTTTCTTGCTGATAAACTTTCAACTTGTACTTCACTGGCCTAAGTGGCCTGCATGCTTTTTGAATGAGGAAGATCACCCAAAAGGGGTGACTGCTTCATATAGGCCAGTTGATTACTCAGCAACCTTTGAATGCACATCACAACATGCACAGCACCAAGCTGCCAGTTAGATTCATGTGTTTTTAAAGCTATGCTACCAAGCAAAGGCTACAAGTCTACTGCAGGGGTGGGGAGCCTTTTCCCATTGAGGACCAGATTCTCTTGGGAATAATATTCTGGGAGGCACATGCTGGCAGTGGACAGGGCACCCCTTTTCTTTTTGCCACTTTTCTCCTGCTCTCCCTCCCTCCCCCCCCAACAACATGAAATTAAGTTGGAAGGCCTCAGTTCCCTACTCCTTGTCTACTGATGCTACATTTACCAAACTTCCATCCGTAGCCAGCTAAGTGGTTTCCAAGACTGAAATGTCTCCCAGGTCAAAAGGTCACAATTCCCCTAAAAATAATTGATTGAATTTGCCTCTCAATGACCAGGGCACACTAACAAATTTTTTATATCGCGAAGCTCCGGCGCTTTGGCAAGCGTACAGAAGAGGAGAAGCATAAACAAATTCGAATTTCCCCTCCCGCTTCGACGTCACAAAGACCCGCCGCACACTAACAAAAAAAAATGAAGTGCCCCATTCATTTGTAGGATGAACATGGGAAATAAAATGAATACTTCATTTATTTGATTTGCTTTCTATTAATTTCTATTGGAATGAGAAACTGAAACTGAAACTGCATGAACAGGTTCTGGGGTTGGAAGCCGGGGAGCACACAAGGAAATTGACAGGCTGGAAAGCTCAGCTGAGTAATAGCTATGCATTTGCTTCTTCTCCATTGCCTCTACAAGGGGGAATCCCTCCCCAGAAGTCTGGTTTCTTGAATGACTAGTTTAATACCTGAATATCTCATGCCCATAGGATTAACAAAGGACTTAAGCAGGAAAAACAAAGCCATGTATCCCAATGAAGTCAACAGGAAGCTTATAGGATGAGCACCTTTTTAAATTGCCTATAAAATGGAAATGGGTTTAATCTGTCTGAGATTTGGAAAGTCTTATGCCTTGTGGGAGTAAAATGCCTGAAAAGGACATGCTATTTGGATGGAACCCCACACACCTCGGTGTCAGGTAGTAATATATTGAACAAAACTTGAAACAAATGCAATTCAAACTCATGAAAAACCAAGCGTCTGTAATTTCAGTTTGGTTCGACTTGGCTAATGCAACCATTATTATGGAACTCTGGTAGCTTATTGTAATATAATTGTTGCCTGGCCAAGTAGTAAGCATTCTGAAGCTAGGAAAAAGAACAAGTAGAACTCTTTACACAAAAAAAAGTGCTGATTAAAAGGTAAAGGGACCCCTGACAGTTAGGTCCAGTCGTGGACGACTCTGGGGTTGCGGCGCTCATCTCGCTTTATTGGCTGAGGGAGCCGCCGTACAGCTTCCGGTTCATGTGGCCAGCATGACTAAGCTGTTTCTGGCAAACCAGAGCAGCACACGGAAACGCCGTTTACCTTACCGCTGGAGCGGTACCTATTTATCTACTTGCACTTTGAGGTGCTTTCGAACTGCTAGGTTGGCAGGAGCAGGGACCAAGCAACGGGAGCTCACCCCATCGCGGGGATTCGAACCGCCGACCTTCTGATCAGCAAGCCCTAGGCTCTGTGGTTACCCTCATAGTCCTTATCCTCTAGGAACAACAGATGAGAGAGAATGCTACATTAGACTCTCCCCCCTTCCAGTTAAGAGAAAGACAAGGAGATATTTCCAGTGTTTTCTACACAAACATCTAGAATGCTTGCTTTCCCCCCAAAACACACACACACACACACACACACACACACACATATTCAAAACAGGTTATCTGGACAATGTTACTGTCAGTGATGATTCAGTGCTTGCACAGCAAATGTGTGTTTACACAGAATCAGCAAGCGTGCATACACAGACTTAGCTCAGCTGACTACTTTGACATGCATATAACTGCTCTCCCAGACAGCTGTTTTTGTTAAATTTCCTCCCAACAGTATATAAAAAGCTCCAGCGAACTTTTAACCTGATGATTTGACAAAGCTCATTTTCTTCAAGAAACTCATTCAGTGTATCAAAATAAAGCATTGAGTGGCTTACAAGCAGCTCGGAAGCTTTTTAGTACAAGAATATTATCCATGGGTCATGCCAAAGATTCATATAGTCCATGAACACCTGGTATTGGATATTATACAAAGATAGCAGGGAACACCAAGTTAGACCAGCAATGAGAAAAGCACTGTTAGGTGGAGTACTGTACAAATTCATAGTATTTCTTGGGGGTGAATACTGCGTATTTTAAATGTCAATTGCTTTTAAAAAAATGTTTCACCTACAAAACTGAGTTCGTTCAGAGAAAGTGGACAGGTTGGTGAAAGGAGTAACAGAAGGCAAGTCATCAACCCTTGTGGATGTGTAGCCAGCAGCTACTGAAACCAGTGGAAGGAAGTTCAACTTCATTTCCTTTGAAACACATGGAGGTTGAGTAGATGCAAAGTGAGGTCTTACACAAATTAAAAATTCCTCACCAATTTCTCAATACAAAACTCTTTTATTATAGGCAGATAAAGGCAAGTTAACAGCATTTAAACAAGTCACTTACCTGGTTGCCAATGGACAAGTAGTCAGATAGCCAGACAAAATAATTTGGCAGTTGGTTCTTTTTTCCCAGGCTCGCAATGTGTCACAAATGATTCAACGTAATGAACTTCCACAATACTAGGCTTATGCTGTAATCTTACTATGTAATGCTAGTATACCACCTTTACCATACAATGCTAAAACTTAGAGGGTGGACATGATTCCTGCATATGGCAGACAACACAAACAAGAATGGGCAGTCCCTAGTTTATCCAGAGGCCTCAAAAGAGAAAACAAAATTGAAATTTATTATAAAATGACAAAAGCAAAGATGTAAGCAGAGATTACTGAAGATAAAAGGCAACAGCATCACAAATCAGGAGGCAAACATATGTATCAAAGCCAGGATTCTAAAAAACCTATTAATGAGGTGTCAGCACTTTGAAGGAGTTTAAAGCAACACATGAACATTAGCAAAGTTTGCAATTCCTTCATCTTTCAGCATTAACAAGAATTCTAAATGGACAAGTTTGGGAATGTACAAAGATTTGTGGCAGTATATTATGACTAACAGTTTTTTGCAAAGAAAACCCAAGTTTATTTTGTAGTAGCAATAGTTTCTTTTTTATTTTTAATATACTTTAGGAAACAATATACAAAGCTGAGCCTTCCCACCATTTTCAAATAGTGAGAAACTCCAATTACACAAAGTCAGCATTTTGTGATGGCTAAGAACAGCAGTCAGCACCAGACTTGAACAGTTAGCTACAACACAAACATCCTTCAAAATGAAATGTCATAATAGCAAGACAGGTAAAACCAGGAGTTAACATATGACAACTGTTGGGGAGGTGTCAATGATCCTTGTTGAATGTCATTAAATATTTTATACACAATTTTGTTTACAATTTTTAAAATAAAGCCTCCTCCTTGAGGACTTATTTTCAGATAAGTAAAAAAGTATTCAACAAGAATAGCTTAGGTAAACAAATCCCCAAAGAGGCCAAATTCGAATGTTTCGACCAAAGGAAATGAAAACCAGTGTTTCTTTGTTTTAAACATGTTTATTACAACAGATACAATTCACATCTGACTAGTTTTTTTTTCCTTCTTTCCCTCCCACAACCATGTTGACATGTTCATTGGGCTGTTTCCTTATAATTTGAAAAAGGGATGTACTTTCAGCACACATGCCCAGCAGTACTACCAGTCCATTCTTACAGGGTGCAAATGGAAATACATTTCAATAATTTATACAAACAAGTGGGTTATGCTCAATCACTGCAATTTTAAGCTACTGTACACAGGAATGAAAAGATTATAGAAAAGTGCCATAGCAACAGTGCTTTAGGAAAGGAGGAAATTAGAATTAAAAAAAAAAAAACTGATAAAATCAGATCTAGGATTTTAAGGGGGAAATGAACACAGAAAATGAAAAACACTGCTCTGTAAAACAGAAATGGAGAAGCACTGCTCTTGATTCGGTGCAAGTGTGGAAACAGTTGTTTCATGATATTTTGTACATTACCCAAACTGTTTCAAACTGTTGCAGCCTTGAGACACAGATCGCCTGGCGCTTGCATTGAATTTTAGGAAATGCAAGATTTCTGAATGATAAATTAACTAAAAAAGAGAGAGAGCTAATTTTGCAGACAGGTTTACATGTAAAGGCTAGGTATTTAGCCACCTCAGCATTGATTAGTTTTGGATGTCTAAGCTCTGATACACATGGCTTCCCATGGCTTCACTCTACAAAACATATTTACAACGTGAAGAATACATCTACAAGAAATCTACATTTCAAGGGTTTTACAAATCATCCTCGTTTCCTTCCCCTGAATGACACCCCTCCTGTCCCCTTTCCCATGTTATCTTTTTTTATTTTTGCCCAACTCAACGGTCCAAAGTCTACTCAAATGCAGCTCAAAAATGTTAAGACTGGGCAATCAGTTTTACAGTTCCTGTACTCAAAACCCATGTGCAATTATTCACAACTTTTTCACACCATGAAGGAATTCTGATTCTTTAGTTTTTCAAGTTCTTTAATTTGTTGTCTCAAAAATAGTATCCTACAAAGGGAAAAGAAAGCAATTAGTACTGGCATGTCAAATCCATTCTTAGATGAGTAATTTACTCCATGAATTAGTACTTTAATAATGACATGCACATTCTTAAAGTTAGTTATTCAATCTACAATAGGTTGAAGGGATAATACTGTGATAACACAGTTTTGTATGTGTTTTATTTTTTATTTTTAAAAAGGACAAAATTGCTGGGCCTAGAAATAGTTGACCTACCTTAATGGTACACATAATGGACTAAATAATTGTTCAAGATCCAGGAACACACAAGGGCACCTTCAGTAGTTCAATGGCTGTGGAGGGAGGTATTATTCCTGTTTAAGTCAATGTCATCCTATATGTTAAGCTGTAACAGTTTTTAGCCCCTGACTGTACGCTAGGGAAAGTTGCTCAGTAGCTCTTAAGTTTATAAAACATTATGAAACAAAAACACTGATGAAAAGGATTTGGGAAATCAAGATGAGAAACCCAGAATTCTTACCTTTGCTCGCGCAAAGTTGCTTGAATTTCACATACTCGAACTAAAGATCTTAAGTTTTTTAATTCAGTACAAATTTCTGACATGTGGACACTTCCCATGTTATGAGCTTCTTCACGTAATCTCGATGCCTAAAAGAGTTAAGAGGAGGAGTTGGAAAGTGTGTTGCAACTTTTGGAGTAACTTCTGGACGTAAACACAAAGTATGGTATTGGTGTCAAAAGAATCTCAGAACCCTCAGTTTCTTGCGATTCATTCAAAATGGTAAAATCCCAGTCCTGTTATATGCCAGCAACATGGTGCTTCTCCTACTTAATTCAAATGGGTATTTAAAGTGTGGTGCTGTCTGTCAGCAAGAACCCAGAACTGTCCATTACAGCAAGTAGTCTGAATGTAAGAAGAGCCCAACAGATCAGGCCAAACAGTCTGTTTGTCCAACACTGTTCTCAAAGTGGCCAACCATATACACATGGGAAGCCCATGGCAGAACCCAAGTTCAACAGCATGTTCCCCACCTGCACTTAAGACATTTAAGACATCTTTTTTAAATACCTAGGTATTTAATGAATTTGTCTGTCTAGGCAGAGTAGCTATACGAAATGTTGTGTCTAAAACTGACTTTTCACAGGGAATGGGTAAAAATTTACTGGCCTCAACCATTGTAATTTTTATTTATCAGATCTTTGCCCAAATACAGTGCGAGGTAAAACTTTGGAGTTAAAATGCCTTGGAGTAATCCAAAACCAATTCTTTAAAGTCCACCTGTGCCTACCAAATGGTACACTGGCTGCAATGTTGCATGTGGAAGTTGGGTTTCCTTCCATCAGAGTGCATATAGCACTTCTCCTGTACTAGTTACAACTGCAAAAGATGAGTGAGAATCGGTACCCTAAAAGTAGAGCCATCAAATGTGGATTAGGCAACATGAAGAACTGCTATCCTACTAAGATTTAACAGAGTACACTGACTGAAATTGATTCTGGGATTGGAAAGAGATTGACTGAAAAGTCAAGGATCTGGGCAAGCATTTTCCCGAATATGGAAACTAGAAGAATGACGTGGGAGCTGCCACAAAACACTACAGCATGGAGTACTCCTGTGATCAAGATCCCAGCCAGCGATGGTCTCTTCTAAACCTCCGCTGCCTTGTGGCTGCCTTCTCACTCATCAGTGAGAAAGGCTTCGGCCGTAAACCTGAGGAAAACCCAGTGCCTTGTGGAACATCCTCAGGAGAAGAAAAGGCTAAGCATCAAATCCTACACAATCTGGAGTGCAATCCCTAAGATGGTTGTATGGTGTACTGGCTGAGAAGAGAGTGGGTGTTGTTGTTTGGGCAGCCCAGGACCTCCAAACATACTGCCCAGGCTTGGGAGGCAGCAGTTATGAGTTACCAGTCTTTGCAGCCACAGCAGGCACTGTGATTCTCCAATGGTTTGACTTCACTCCTAGAGGCGCATTCCATTGTCTCTCAAGACAGACTGATACCAACAATGCTCTCTTTCAGCATACGCCATTCCATATTCCACCACACTGACAAAAAACACTCGTTAGCATTCTTACCCCCCTGAGCATACTCAGTCCTCACTGGATTGTTTTTAGAACGCTTCCCTATCTCCTTTCATGGTGTTTTCATCATGTTTTCATACTAACTTTTGCACAAAGCATCTAGATCAGAGATGTCAAACCTGTGGCCCTTCCAGTTGTTGTTGGATTATTAACCTCATTACCCCCGACTATTGGCCATGTTGTCTGATGCTGATGGGAGTTGGAGTCCAAACAGCATCTGGGGTTCCCTATCCCTTATCTAGGTAAGATATTCGTGTTGTATGGCTTTTTGTGAAGTTCATGTGCTCTGGTAAAATTTGTTGTCTGACCAGAACAAATTATAAACTGACAGTACTACATTATATATACACTGTAATGAAGTTTCAGTCCTCTCTGCTACAGGATGTTTCTGTTACACTGACTAGAGTTCATGTTAAAACTGTAATATTTAAAACACTGCATCTGTGCTGCAATGCCTTATCTTACAACATTATCAAGAATTACTATGAAGTCTGAAAGGTCAAAACAGAAAGGCCCAGTTAGCTAAGATTTAAAAACCACAACTAAAAAGAAATTTTATTCTTTTATACTTTACAGTTAACTGGTTATTTTTTCATTCAACTTTATAAAACTGACATGGAGAAAAGGGTTATTGGTTTTGAGAATTACAGAAAACAACGTTTAACTTTTAATTTGTACAGCATTGGATTGAAAAGTAAATATTTTTCTGTAAGCCTTTCTAAACCTCAACAATGATTTCTAACACCACTGTAATCTTCTCAGCTTCTTTTCTGCTTCAACAGGCGTGCAAGTTTGCCTGAAAACAAATGACTGAATCTGAATAGCTAAGGCAGCCTCAAATCTTATTAAGCCATGAAACAAAGGGGGCCATGTCTATATAACTCTCAACTTAAACTTCCTTCACAAGGTAAGGTTGCTGGATAATAGAGGAATATATTTTAAACCTGCAAATACACTCACTCATCCTCTGCTCTACTTGCTGTGAATAGGAAGGCTCCTTGCTTCAAACGACAAAAACAGTGACTAGTCCTATTCTCTGCTCGCCATCTACCCTCCCAAAAAGGGAGAACAGAACCATAAACCTGGCAGTAACAGTGCATTGCTATGTAGCCTGGTACACAGAACTCTCCCCTCCCACATTTTTGCCTTAAAGGGCAAATAATCTTTTAAAGCAAGAGTGAAAGTGTCACTGAATTTCCAGGTCAGACAGTCCCCGGTCACCAAGGTCAATTGTTGCAGACAACCATGAACCAGGTAACTGACAAATTTATAAAAGCTTATCTAATGTAACACTGCCCTAAATCACGGGATTAAAATGAGGAAAATCTAAATAAAACAACATGTTTCTTGGCTAACAATCTTAAGGTACTTCAATCTCCCAATATATAAAAAATCACTATACCTATTCTACAACCTGTTTCCCCCACCAAACTGTTGGGATACCCCAACACAAACTACCTACAACAGTATTACACCCATGCATAAGAACAATTCCAGTGCTTCCAACCTCCATGGAAATGGAAATGCAAGCTGTGAAATATTCACTAGCATTAAATTATTTGCTTTAAAGATCATTGGTGTTCACAAGAATTTGAACAGAGGAAATTTAAAACACATTCAAAAGGAAGCTAAAGTGCTGTAATCCAAAGGGTTGCAAGCAAAAAAGTATTTCATCTCCACCTCCTCCTTACTGCAGCCCCCTTATGTACTGTAAAAATCTGCTTCCAAAAGTCTAAGGCAGATTTTGGAGGTGTGCAGGGGATAGGAGAGGAAAGTGAAATCCTATTGTGCAAGCGGAAATCTACTCAAACAACACTGGATTCTGCCCAACACTACAAAATGTACACTCACCTGCTTTTCTGCATGATCTGCAGGCCACCCTTGGACATGCTTTATAAGGTTTTCATTGAAATGTGCCGCTAACGTGGGTGTTAATGAACACGTAGGTCGTGCGGATGCATTCTGTGGTGCTGTCGTATTAGAAGCACTTGTATTGGAGGTATGATTTGGACCAGGAGATGGACTTCTCTGACTACTAAAAGAAAAAGAATGAATGAATGTTTGTTGAGTTAGCTTGTCAGGGATGCTTAATCTGCACCCTGCACAGTAGATTCGGCATAGATTGGATTATGTCCAAGGTCCCTTCCAACTCTACAAAGACTATATAGAATAGTTCCAATCTCTTCCATGGGAAAATGCCCACCTGAAAGTTGCATAGCCAGTAATCGTGAGATTAAAGGTAAAGGGTAAAGGGACCCCTGACCATTAGGTCCAGTCGCGGCAGACTCTGGGGTTGCGGCGCTCATCTCACTTTATTGGCCGAGGGAGCCAGTACAGCTTCCAGGTCATGTGGCCAGCATGACTAAGCCGCTTCTGGCGAACCAGAGAAGCGCACGGAAATGCCGTTTACCTTCCCGCCGGAGCGGTACCTATTTATCTACTTGCACTTTGATGTGCTTTCGAACTGCTAGGTTGGCAGGAGCAGGGACTGAGCAACGGGAGCTCACCCCGTCACGGGGATTCGAACCGCCGACCTTCTGATTGGCAAGTCCTAGGCTCTGTGGTTTAACCCACAGTGCCACCCGCGTCCCCTAAATCATGAGATTATCATTTTGCGAATTGTCTGTGAGAAGACAATAACTAAGTCATTAGTGAGGAGTGTTTTCTTCATGGCTTCAATGGATTTCAAACTAATTCTGTCTCAATTGACATGGGTATTGGGGGGGGAGGGGAGAGAAACCAAACTCTCCTGAAGTTTATTTAAAAATGAAGTTTATTTAATGTCTTCTATGTGCCTCCCTGATGTCACTAGTCCCAACAGCAGGTAACCCCATTCTTTTCCAAGAACACACCAGTAACTTTCTTCCTATGACAAGCAGGTGCCACAGGTTTTATAAATCACTTCCACAGGCCCACATATTAAGTGTATGTGCCTAGCACCTTTTGTCTTTTACAACCAGTTTCACAATCCACATCACACTGCCTGTCAATTCCACAAAAGGCATCCTAACAGTTCTGTAAACCAGGATATTATACTAGTATACTGATAGTGGCACCACCTGCATTAGTTCTGATTGCAGAACCCACACCATCTTAAACACAGGAATTTTCTTCATATTGGCTAGAGTGGCAAATAGGAACAGCAAACATGGAACGTTATATTAAGCAACAATTCTTTTAATAGAATTGTTCTCTTTTACTAGTCTCCCAGACTCTTGTTTCAGGGATTTGCCCAAAGTCCCACTTGCCCCAAATTGGGAAATGCCTGAAGTGAAATGAAAGGACACCATGCCTAGTATCTATGCTTCTCCAGTGCTCAGTGGTTGAACATTTTTGTACTGAAGACACTTAACTAGTCACCTCTGCAAGTAACAATTACTCCAGGCAACTGGGTTATGTTCTGATTCAGAACAGAGCTGTACATGTGGCCTGGGGATCACATGTCACACTAAGTCAATTATGGCTTAGCACACACATGTATTCTACACCAACCAGAAGCCAATCCAACAGTAGGCACAGAGCAGAAAATAATCCTGAGAAGCCACTTGCATAAGATTAGGAGTTGACATTATGCATCAATAGTGAGCCTTAATTCAGACCAAAGCACAATATTGGGTATACTAGGACAATTTAATGAATAGCATATTCATCAAGTATACATAATTATTTCTGTCAGTTGCAGTCAGTGTATTTGTGCACGAGTGTACTTTTGTTCGCATTAAGCACTTCCTGACCCTATGATGGCTGTTGAAACCTTGCCCTGCACACATAAAAACTGTTTTGTGACTAGTATTTCTTTGGCAACCCTATCCCAGGGGGTGGGAAAAAACACCACCTAGAAACCAAACAACTTTGGAGCAAAGCACTTCCAGAATTTGACTGCCTTAATCTTAACCAACAATGCCAATAATAATTTTATCCCTATTTTTATTTTTAAACATGATATTTACGTCATGTAAACATTTCCTTTTAGTCTCCAAGCTCTAATTTTTTTTAAAAAGCACCTTTTTTCAAGATATGATGCATTCTACTGGACAAAATGTAGCTCAAACCTGAAGATAAAAGCTACGTAAAGAACAATTCAGAACTACCATTATTAAAAATCTGAGCTGATTCATCTCAATGAAATCATACACTTAAAAGGAGGGCTCAACAATGACAGATTTCCTTTAATTCAAAATTTTAGTGTGCCTTCATAAGCTTATCTGCTACTATCACACAACCAAAAAAGCCACAACTGTTTAAAAAGCACCAAGCAAATTTCTGAAATGCAACTGTATTCAAATTGTTTACTTAAAATGGTAACATACAGGTTTTAAAACAATACTAGGAATTTAATATGGAAATTCTGTCCCCATACCACCTTCTAATAATGGGACTAAGAATTTATCTTTACATTCACCAACAGCAGAGATGTGTTTAAGCACTGCCACATTTCTATCTGTTAACATGAATAGCTTATGCTGGCTTCAAAGACAATACACAAAAAGCCCCCAAGATTTCCATTCATGTCTCAAAACTGAATACACAGACTTGTGGTGAAGAAGCAGCTTGTGAGGTCCTTCCTGTTTTTCCTGCATAACTTAAGGCAACAGAATTCCAGGATGTACAGGTGTTAGCTCACCTGTACAAACATAAAACTGAAATCTAGACACTACAGTTAATAGGCCACTAACTCCAATAACTGGCCATGTGTAAATAATCCTGCAATTGCACTGAGACTGTAATGTTCTTCCCAACTTTGAATGCAAGAATACTGTACAGTGGTACCTCGGGTTAAGTACTTAATTCGTTCTGGAGGTCCGTTCTTAACCTGAAACTGTTCTTAACCTAAGGTACCACTTTAGATAATGGGGCCTCCCGCTGTCGCCACGCGATTTCTGTTCTCATCCTGAAACAAAGTTCTTAACCCGAGGTACTATTTCTGGGTTAGCGGAGTCTGTAACCTGAAGCGTATGTAACCTGAAGTGTATGTAACCCGAGGTACCACTTTACAGGCAGTATTTGCAGATGAGAGCATGCAGCTCCAAAAAGCAACACTTGGTAGAATAGGATATGGTGAAGTCAAAAGCCAATACCAATGTAATATATACCTTGAACGCTGAAGACTTCGAGGAGAAGCAGGTTCATGACCTTGTTGTTTGTCAGCAATCACTTGCTGCTGAGATGCTGACTGTGAAACTGGTCCTTGCTTAACACCTGAAGTAGTAACCTGAAAGTTCAAAATTTGACCACATTTCAGTATTACTTCAAATAACCTTAAACTGAAGAGCTATCAATCAGGATTAGAAGTGGGATACCTCCTGCAACTTATTTCAGGCATAGTACACAGAAATGGAAGGATGTCTTCTAATTTAATTTAACTCAAATTGCATGAACAAAGATACTCGAAACTGTACACACACAATCCCCATACAAAGAAGGTATCAGAAGACTGAGGCTAATCCTAAGGTTTGCAGAAGTACCCCTACAAAAACAAAAACTTTATTACAATATTTAAGGGACCAAGACACAGTTCAGTACAGACTAAGCATGTTCAGTGTTGACGGAATGCTGACCAACTGTTGGGAGGATAAATCTGAAAACTGGAATGGAATAGAGCTGCTTTAAAAGGAGGGCAGAGGAAGAGACAGATATATAACAAGGACAGCGGGTACTTTGCTATTGTTATTGGTAACTTCCTCGTTGAATTACAGCAGGGACCGCCAATAGACACCTTTGCAAACCCCAGAAACTGTTGTGGGCAGCACACACACCACAACTGAGCACACACCTCAACCTAGTCTATTGGCTACAGCAGAATGCTTCTTTTAAGTCTAATTTCAGGAGGAGGAGGGAGCCGTATAGGCACCACGTTAGTGCATTATACAAGACTCCAACTTTCAAAACAGCCCATGATCTTCAATTATCCTGCAAACAAGGCTGGCAACATCAGTCCTGCCATGTGGGAATCCCTTGCAGACTACTTCAGTGCCTGGAGACAGCCAGAGCATGGTGCATCTGAAGCACCACAACCACACACATCTGCCCTAGCTGCAACAAAACATGTCTCTTCTTTATTGGTCTCTACAGTCACAGCAGATGCTGTAACTCTCCAAAATTTGACTTTACCCCCAAAGGTGCACTCCTCCATTGTTTCCCAAGATAGATGGATGCCAACAAGGACAGCTAGATTAACTGGGACTGGCTGATATGATAAAATTTATGCTAGACTTTGTCAAACTGCTCAGAGAACTGTGGGTGGTATGGAAAGGACAGAAGTGAAAGCTGTCTATTAAAATTATTGTAGAGAACTAATAATGTAATAGATGGACACCAGTTTGTCTAAACCTCCTCCCACAAAGCCCGATAAGGACTGTGCTAAGTAAGCACAGAATAGTGACTAATATTTTTTTGGAAAAGAAATCCTGCTAACAACATTTAAAGTAGGCCACTATTATTATGCCCATGTTGAAGGTAGAAGAAGAAGAGAGTGGTTTGCTTGAGGCTGCCTACCAATATAACGAAGGCAAGATCTGTACTGGGAATTCCTAGCTCACTCTTAGCCACTTTGTTACCAAGTCCAACCAGTGACAGTTATAGACTAAAATAATAATCATTAAAGCAACTTGTTTTTTCCCACCAGAAACTAGAGCATCCATTAAAGGTCATCTAATGAAAACTGTTGAAGTACTAAACATTGAGATTCTTATCCTTTGGGTTTCTTGTTTAATACAAGAAACAGCCAAAAATATTTTTTTTAAAATATTTAAAGCATTACAATGTTGGAGTCTTGTGTCTGCTTTAACAACAGAAGCAGAGTTTTACTCCTGCTGTAACTCATTAAAATCTTACCTTTGGCTGTGAGGATACAGGGGGTGTATTTATCAAAGGTTTCAGAGGAACTGTGTTAGTCTGAGGCGTGCTTATCCTTGGAGATACGTATGACCTTGGTGATGAGGCATCCGATGTTAAAGACATTGGGGATTGATTAGATGGCTGAGCTGTAAATAAGACCATGACAATTTTTTAAAATCTTACTCAATCTAAGTATTTTTTTTAAGTATTCTTAGGAAATAAAGCTTGGAAGACTTAAGCAATGGAAGGGGGAAGAGGAGCTGTGACCAAATGAGAAAGCCAAGAGACATAAAACAGTTGCTCCATGAAGGACTAAAAATTACAAACTCAGCAACTTTTTATGCTGTAACAGGAGTCATATCCAGATGATGCCGTTCTATTGTTTGCTGAAACTAGGTGCTGAAGGGTTTAAAAGCTTTGGACTATCTTTTGCTACTTCAACACCTAAATCTGTATGGAATTTTCACTGCTGAAATGCTTTTACTTAAAGTTAACTATTTAAAGCCTCACACACCAATTTATATAATCGAGTGTAAATCCTGTACTTACATACACAGATGCTTCAGCCTCAGACTGACCAAACTATTAAACAAGCAATTTAAGTACATACTGTCCTTGTTCTTTTTCACTCCTGTGCCACACTAAGCTAAGTCATGGAAAAAACCTTAGCTATAGTTTGTGGTTAGCAAGGAGAGCACTTGACCACAAGCACTGGTTTCGATGCCACGCTAAGCCAAATCTTGACTGAGCTTAGCATGGGAATAAAAAGGGTTGGGGAGGAGCAAAATAACTGAACTCCTCTTTAGGAGACCACATATTCATGTGGTCCCAGCGAGCCGTTGTCTGGCTTATCACATGGCATGCATAGTCAAATATATTTGCCCATGAAGAGTCTGAAAATATACTGTATATCATGTGGAACTACACAAAAAAGCTTACTTTAAAGTAGCAGGCAGTCAAGTTGCATATGAATAATAATTGATGGGCATAAGAATTCCCACTTCACACACTGAGCCAGTTTTAGACTGGGGGGGGTGGGGCAAAGGGATCTTTTAAATGGCAAACAAACTATTTATATACCTGCAAATGCAAAGTGTATTTTCCAATATATATTATTAATTATTCAATTTGTTAGTTGCAGCCTCTAGGCCATGCACTACTTAATTTTTGACATCTACCACTGACCACAGAGCTCTCTTTAAGAAGTTCTAATTTCAGCTCTCAATTTTTTTCAGTGAGGGCATTTTGTCCCTAGATAGACCCAGAAGACCAAACAACAAAAACTAAAGAAAGTTAATTTTAGTCAGGATCATTTTCTGCTTATGATTATTAGCTTTTAATAGAACTAATCGAACTCCCAATGCTTCCACTAAGTTCAAAGTAATATAGCGCATAGCAGGAGTTTTCTAGATAACCTATTTTAGGTATTCATAGTAAGTACCTCATAGTAAGAACTTCAACTAGATCACTACAGTATTAGCTTTTTTATAGTTGGAATAGATTTGGTCTCCCCTTCCGGAATCTGAATAAGCAATAAAACTTGTTAAGAGAAATAACAACATCTTCACACATGCAGCTCAGTCCAACAGAATGTATGCAGTGTCAATTTTGTTGGCTTTAGTAAATGCTGATTATTTATAATGCTATTATGCTTGACTGGTCCAGAAACATTTGGACTGAATGCACCAAACAATTGAATCTCATCCTCCACAAATATGTTCAGAATAACAGAACAACAAATTGTTGCTGCAGTGGAAGCTACCAGCTTTTCTGAACACCCTTTAGGAATCTGACTTTAAAGGTTATATCTATATAAGTTAGTTATGTCCATTATTTTAATTGGTCTACTCTGACTAGGACTAACACTTGATACATTTTTCCTAACTGAATCCCTCTACAGTAAAATGAACCGAAGTCTCATAGCGTACAAGGCAATTTTACACGGAGACAAAAAGAAGCTTCCAAAATACCTTGTGTGGAAAGCTGTGCTGCTTGAGAAATCAGGGAAGTTATATTAAAAGCAGATGGTCCAGCAGTGAGAATTTTATGAAGTATAGATTGTAGAGAAGCTTGTGTCACAGCAGCTGTAAGAACTAACAGACAAATTAAGATTACCACTTTCATTCCCTGAAAAGAAGCAACAGTGTATCTACAGTACTTATGTTTGAAAGAAAATACTATTCCCTAAAACTAAGTTCCTGATCCAGTTTCTCATAAGAACCTAAGAGCACCCCTGCTGCAGCAGACCAAAGGTCCCTCTAGTAAAAATCCTGTTCTCTCTGTGGCCAACAAGATGTTTAAGGAAAGCCCAAAAGCAGCACATGAGAGCAGCAGTACTCTCCCCGTTTCTGTTCTCTATCAACTGGTATTCAGATGTATACTGGCACAAACAGAAGAGGCAGAACATACGACATTGTGACTAATAGCCACTGATAGTTAAATGACAAAGTAATGGAGGATAAGACTATGTATTATGCAAAGTGGCACTGGTGTTTTTTTGGTCCTGAATCTTCCAACATTCCGTTTCATTGAATGTTAAGGGAGAAAAACTTCTCTCTATCCACTTTCTCCAGTCTACATATTTTTATTCTCCTCTATCATGACTTCCTCTACTTTCCATTTCCCCAAAACTAAAAAGTCCTGAATATCCCGTTTTCCAGATCTATCTTTTGAGCTGCAGTGACCAGAATTGTACACATTATTCCTGTAAGTGCAGTAGCAATTGTAGGAATCTGCAGGGATCTGCAGTAGTGCAATCCTCTGTGTGTTCTACTAAGATGTATGCCACACTGGGTTCAATGGTTCAGCACTGCAGTTTAAAATGCACTGTACTAAAATCAAATTTAAGATGTTAATCAACTTTCACTGGCTGAAATGCAAGTAGTTCCAATTGTTGCCCCCACTTTCCCCTAAGCTCAATGCAAATAGTACATTGAAAATAATTTCCAATTCATTAATACAGCCAGTCTTGGCTTCATGCAAGATAAAAGGCAGAAAAACATGGAGGTTCCCAACCCCATTTGTCATGTTACACGAATACAGTGGCAGGCATTTATAGCAGGGAATCACCAGCTGGATTCTCCCCTACAAATGCCACTCCCTGATATTTTGCCAAGTCAGTCTCTATGTCTCTAATTCACCCCTGTAAATCTTTCCTTCCTGCCCATCACCTTAGTAAATGTTCGCTTGGACACATATTTGCAAAGTGCACGATACAGTCATTGCATTAAACTAACACTTTAAATCTACCTTATGTAGAAGTGTAACTTCTAGATATGCAGTCACCTTGTTCAATACAGTATTAGGACAAACTATTAAAAATCTGTCTTACCTTCATTTATTTTGGATATATCTACACTTGAATTGTTAAGCTGCAATGTGGCTTGAAGAGCAGGTAGTAACTGTCGAAGGAGATTTGGGTCCTGAAGTAATGGAGGAATTGGGGATTGTGAGACAGGTGAAACAGGAACTGTTGAAGCCGATGAAGTTGGTGCAGAAGCTGGATTCAGTCCAGAAGCAGATGATGTGGAAGGAGTTGTGCACGAGTGGGACAGAGACTTGTCCATTGACATAGATTCTGAAGAAACAGAGATATTTATGTTTCTTCCCATCATAACCCATATTCTTTCGCATACTCTAAATACAGTAATAAATCAAACTTGCCAAAATTATACAAAATTTTGTGGCTGGTTTTAAATTTCTCCCATTATATAGGGTTTTTTTTTAAAAAAAATGCATTACAGAACACTTGAATTTCCAAAGTGGTTAATGAGATAAAAACAATGCTACAAAGTAAAAGCAAAGGGTGATATTTGTGGCAGCCCACTCATGCAACAGCCATTCTACTTCTCAGCACATAGCAAATTCAATGGGTGTGTTGTGCTTGTGAAAGATGTCGTGCACACCCTAGGGCATCTGCTAAACTTTGTGCACTGTCAGAAAAAAATATCTATCAAACTCTCAAACATCCTGTGCTCAAACTATTAATATTTAACATAAAAATCTAATAATGCCTGTAGACAGTGTAACTGATACAGTTCCTGAATTTAGACCCAAAGCCTGTTTCTAATGTCTTTATATCACTCCCGAAAGGGCAAAGCACCACCAATGTTACCTGCAGAAGTGAAACTTACTGGATTTGGTGGCACCTGCAAAACCTTAATGTATGGGTTTGTACAGTATTGTAAGCATACATAATTTGGATGGTATCAGCAAGGAACAGAACACACAGTTGTCAAACAGGTTCAAAATTAGAGTTTATTTGGTCAGGTATCCTGATGTTGGAGAATATCAGAGACTTCAGAATACACAAATGAAATTATGTACGTTCAGGTGGAGGGGGGAGGGCCTAGACAAAAATCTCTCGTTCTCCCCCATTATTGGACACCTGCTGCTGGATCAGACCTTGTGCTTACACAAGAGCACCAATCATATACATCCCACAGTATTCTAAAGTTTCAATGCCAGGTGTCAAGATCTCTTAACACAGTGGCTTCAGAGAGGCTGTGTAGGAATACTAATCACACAAATATGTCAAACAAGCTAGTTATACCACTTATGCTTTCCTGAAAAGGCTTGAAGCAATTTGATGTTTAAGCATACTTTTCAGATATAAGAAAATGAGTAAATCACTGAAAATGTCATGGCAAAAAAAATAAAAATAGCAACACATGTCATTAGGTGACAACCAAATATATGAGCTGGAGCTCTAGGTTTAAAATTCATGGTTAATGTAAACCTCAACTCCTCTGCATAGGGCAAGCAGGCTACAGCTCTAAAGGTTGTGTATTCTATAGTCATCTGACGTAACAACATGGAGAAGCCAAAAACGTTTTTACCTGACAAACTTTTTCTCTCAGTTTTCTGTGAAGGGATGGAAGAGGTGGGTGTAGGCAGTTTTGATAAGGAAGATGCTCCATTTGCATCAAACGATTTCTTTGGCTGGTGGTCAGACTGTAGAGAAAATGGACTAGGTGGAACAGAACTTGGGGTAGTAGATGGGTGAACCACTGTTTTGATGGGATGCTGTACTGGGGTCGAACTACTGTGAGTCTCTGTTCTTGGCAGTCTGTAGTCTCTGTCGTTGTGTCTGCTTGTCTGAGACAAAATATTCTGTGGGAGCATATTAGCGGCATCACTGGAATGCTTCTCTTCCACTTTTGTTTATCATTCACAATGTTGCAATGAGAAACGGAAAAGACCAAATTAGAGCTCCAATACTGACCAAGTAAATATATCTGCATTTACTGAACTTTAATCCTATTCTAGCTCCAATTGTAAAGAATGAACATTATTTCATAAAATACTCGATGCTGTGAAGTACTTATCAAATTTAACTTTTCTAATATTCATATTATATCTACAAATGCCACATTACAAGGTTTGAGTGCTTCAGTACCAAATTCCATTATTTGTTGTTGTTGTTAAATTTATTACCAGTAGGTCCCGGGGGGGGGATTACAACAATATAAAATTAAAAACAGTTAAAACAGATTCCAATCACAGGAATAGAGTGGGCCCCAAAAGCACACTTCTGAGGTGTCAAAGGCACCGCCAAAACGGAAACGGCCAGCAACAAGAAATAAAGACCAGAAGTAAATAATTAAATAGAAGTAAAACACTGAGCATAGAATAGCAAAAGATATTTAGCAAGGAGACAAGGGTTGTTGTTTTTACCTCAGTGGAGGACAAATAAAAGGACAGAAACCAAACAGTAAAAAAATGGACAGACACCAAACAGTAACAAAGACAGGAAAAAGTATCCTACAACTAAAGAAGAGGAAGATTACTAAGTAACAAAAGAATAACAAAGAAAGGAGTTAAAGAGGACTCAGCTGACTAACAGCCCACAAAATAGTGAGAGCTCTGTCCTAGGCAGGAGGAAAAAACTGAGAAGCAGTCTACCTCACACAATTATGTGCTCCTGCCTAAGTCTTTTGCAAGAGGAACAGCCCAATCTGAACACTTCATAATAAATTTAAAAAGTTAAAACAGATTCCAATTACAGGAAACGCACATCTCAGGTGTCAAAAGGCTAGGGTAATGAGATGTATCTTCCAAATTTGCAAAAAGCTACATTGTGAAGAAACCAAATGCAACTCTGTGGGGAGGAAAGAGGGGCTGCCACAAAGATTGCCCTCTCCCAGGTCCCGCCTCAACTTCTGAGGGAGGTGGAACTACCATTTCTGGGGACAAGCTGCTAAAATATTCTTGAGAAGCAATGACATTCCTGCCTTCAAGGGTTATAGGGAGCTAAACACACTTGCATCTAGTATTCCAACATAAAATAATAAAAACTAATGACACATCTCTAAATTAATTACTCCAAGTTTGAAAACTCAGAAGCATTTGTATTCAAACCTACACAACATTGAAGTTGTAAAGGAACAACATTGAAGTTGTAAAGGGATATAGGAGAATATTTTTAATATAAAAATGAAAGGTTTCATCTTCAGTATGCTTTCATACTGATATTACAATTGTGCTTGAAATTCATGAGAAAGGTGGAATGTGCAACATTTATAAACAATTCCTAAACTGACCCATTTTTGAAATTAATACACAAAGCAACCTAGATTCTCAACCCAAACAGAGAACTTTAGACATGCTGGTGAACTTGTCACTGAAGAAAAGGGGGAAAGCACCAGTTTATGGTGCTTTGTGCAAGGGCTGTGAGTACAATTCATGCTAATAAAATAAATCACAGGAACCATTTCAGTGTCTATGCAAGAATCAGGCACAAGTACATCAAGAAAACACATATAAAGTCTAGCATATCTGTAAAATTTGTTTTGATGTGAAATTACTGACAAAGCATAGAAAATGGATAGGCAGATTTTTTTATTGTATTAAAACATACATACTTCCACTAGCAAACCCACTAGCAGCAGTTGCCTGCATCACCTCTCTCCTGTAATCTCTGTCTTTTGGGAAACTGTTGACAGATATTTTGCTTGCTTCTTTTTGTCTCTGCTCTCTGGAGAGGAAAAAGCAAACAGTTAAATCATATCAAGTGTACCACACTGCATTTCACCTCTTATATTAGTACTTACCTTTCAAGCCATTCTTTTGGTTTTTCCCACTGGGAAACTTCTGTTCGGCAGTTATAGTAGTACTTTTTGCCAGAAGAACTAATGTGCTCAGACCAGTCATCTGCAGAATCATAGGACTTGGGGAAGGGAGGGCAAAAGTGATGGAATCAGCTTAATATATTATACCCAAAAAAACACACCACCCCTCTTTCCAGTTTGTCCTTTAACATATACTTTAATTTAGTAAGAGGAACCCTTGTGTTCATAGAGATTTAAGGTCAGTGCAGACAATGCTAACTAGGCTTCCAGCACTGGATCATGTTTTTGTGCATGCCTTCCCACCTACCTTGGTTTAAGTCTGATCATAATTACTTCTAGCTCAATCTGAGGACAATCCAAATTCCGTTTCCAAACTGGGTTGAATCAATGTTGTGAAAAGGAATCTGGGATTGTCCAAATTTCTTTAAATTGGAATTGAACATTCAATCAGACAAACCAAGGGACAGAATGCACAATCCCATAGTCTACTCCCTAAACACACACCAATGTTACATCTGCAATGGGTAAAAATATTTCCAACAGTAGACCTACATCTTCCTTCATGGATGTTCTATTTGCCATAGTTTTTAAACCTACTGCCATACCAGACTTGAAGAAACAATGGGTTCAAAACAATATGCAAGAGAATAGCTTTCTGAAATGTGTATTTATCACTCATATTATGTGCTATGAACTCAAATACTGAATGTGGAACACAGCCTGACCAGTCTTGCTCTAATAATTTGCATTAATTGAAAATTAGCCAGAGAACGCACTGTCTGTGGGTTAAATAAAGTAAAACAAAGTTGCATAATTCACCATAGATACTTACTGCATCTGATGTTTTACTTGGATTATTGCTAGGATTAGAAGAGTGTGAATTTGAGCTATGAAGAGCACTATGGTTATGAGAATTTTCTTGTGGAGAATAACTGGTCCCTAAAAAATAAAATTAAAAGTTTATATTAATTTTCAGATACAAGTAAAAATACTTACTATATCACGTAGCAGATGACAGACCAATATAAAATTATAATCCTGATATGTATTGATTTGTACAAGTGCTTCCTGTTCCCTTAAAAATTATGCATGGCTCTGTTAGCTCAGCTGAATAGGATTAGCCTGTAATGTTGCTATCTAACCAATGAAAAGAAACGATGTTACCTAAATATGACTCAAACTTCTACAAGACACAAAGAGGAACTTACTGTTCAACCTATATCTATATTAAGGCATTTAAAATCCATTTAAGTCCGTTTTTCATACATCATATCTGAGACTACCTATTTACAGAGATTTCAAAGTAGAGCATTTTCACATGATCCAGAGTGCTGAAGTATACATCATTATCCAAAAAAACGCAATTACTATAAAAGTAGGAAATGTGCATTTTTCTCACTCAAAATGGGAGACCTAAATCAAAAGTAATCCTAATACCACATTGACAGCTAAATTACGACAATCCATGAAATACTACTAGGCAACTTATTTGTACAAAAATCCCTCCAAATGAGAAAATACGATGTGTACTTCAAAATGGCCAGGCCATTTCTATTCTGAAAGCTAAAAGTTAGCATAAATGTAGGTCAACACATTCACCACTAGAACAATCTAAAATCGGAGCACTATAAAATCTGGGAGTCAAATGCAGAATATTAAGTATGCCTTAAAGACCACCACTGCAATATAAGTTCAAAGACACACTCACAAATGCTGGGCTGTGAGAATCAGGGTGTATAAAAATGGTGTGTGTTGCTTTTTAAGTATATATACTAAGGGTGATATTCAGGTGTGTATCTGCCAACGTTACAGACTTCTGCTTGCACAACACAATTTTCCTTTTCTCTCTTCCCTCTGCAGCTAACCCTTGACACTATGCCTTTTCAAACCTCTGGAGCAGGTGGATGGGGGACTGCAGGCAGACAGAAAAGGAAGGGGTAGTCAGATTGCAGATGCCAACTCACATGGTGTTGGATTTCAGCCAACGTTTCTTTTAAATAAGTTAATATTAAATATCTAGATATAAGCACTACAGTTAATCTCTAAGCCAAATCAAGACCCTCTATCAGATACGTTTGAGCCAAAGGACTTTTATGTAAAAGAACCAATCTGATCATTTCTCACCTACGAATACTTAGGGTTGTATTCAATTTAGTGCTAAGTAGTTTCATCAGCACAAAGCTGTCTGCTTGCACAGAAGAACTATCCCCCTTCTCATACACCCCTTTAAATCTGTTCTAGATTTTCCACAACCCCCCAGAGCAGATTCAGGGAAATGGTGGGGTGGTGGGGTGTGCATAGAGGGGGATGGGTGAAGTCTCATTGTGCTAGTGGCAAATCTTATGCTGATGGAGAAGTTGGTAGAATACTGCCCTTACACAGTACCAGCTCAACATAACCACCATCACCTTGTGAATATAAACTGCTCTAGTCTGCCAGTAATCATCAGTCACTGGTATTTCATTTTTGGTTGCTACTTTGCAACCAAAGGGTTGCAAAGCCAAGGCAAAGAGAAATATAAAGGAGCATAACTAGAAAGAAAATAAAAATTATCTGGTGTACTTAATCAATTGTCATGGCTGCCAGTCATAGGAGAGACTTGTACAGCAATATTTTTAACTATATAGGGGTTGTTGTTTGTTTGTTTTTAAAAAAACAAAGTCTGTAAGATGTATAACATGAAATAAATAGATGAAAGGCCTGGTTGTAAGAAAATACCATATCTTCCCGTGTATAAGATGCCCCCATGTATAAGACAACCCCTATTTTTTTGAACCCAAAATTAAGCAATCAATATTTTAACTTCAAACAGAGCAACTTCGCTTTTTTTATTAAATATTCAAAGCACCAATATATTTACTGCACCCAAACTTGTTGAGCTTTTTTGGGGAAATTGACGGTCTTATATACAGATAAATACAGTAACTATTGTTAGTTGTAAAATAAAACACCATTAAGTTTTAAGAAATATATGCCGTATCAGTGGGTACTCCAACTTTTTCTCTTGCTGATTTAAATCATTATTTAATTTACATCAATTCACCCTGGTAGAATTCAAGCACTTATCTATAGATTTGAATCAGACTTGGATTTGGGAAACCTCTGCTCATATTAGCAAAATGCAAGTTTCATTTGCTAGCATATAAAGATGATAATGTGTCACGCACTCACTGAATCAAAAGGATATCAAATTTGCTCTTGACGTGAAAAGTTCAAGTTTGATACATACTTTTAACAAACATTTTATGAATAAATTTATAAATAAATATATAATAGGAATGTGAAACTCTAGGAGTGGGGAAGAGGAAAAACAGGGCAATTCCACCCTGTAATTTAATTCTGGGTTTCTCAAAGCAGTTTATATTGACCTCCTGGGGTAAATGGGACGATGCAGGATGTGAATAAAGACCATGGGGTCGTAAAGGGCAATAAGAACATAACAACCTGCTGGATCAGGAAAATGATCCATGTAGTCCAGCATCCTGTTCTCACAGTGGCCAAGCAGATGCTTGTGGGAAGCATGCAAGCAGGACCTGAGTCTAACAGCACTCTTAGGGGTGTAACATAAGTTTACATGGTACAGAGCAAAAAAATTAGAAACTATTAAGCTCAGAAATAAAGGGCATGTACAGAATGGCATGGTTTCATCGTTATTTTCACTTGTTCTATTTCCTTTTCTTACATTTGATATTCCTAGTAACAGTGATGGGTAACTAATAAAAGTTGAATATATACTGTTATTCCTTTACTTTATTTCCTTTAATTCCTAATAATTGAAGTGTGGGTTGATGGCAACTTTAAAAGTTCAACAAGGAGACAATGAACTCAGAAGTTCATAAACCCTGATTTAAATCAATGTAAGAAAGGCTCCACTAGACAAAACAGGAGAAAAAGAGGCATCAGCCCAGAAGCTCTTCAACAGGAAAGTCTTTCTACAGGAAGCTTCCCTATTAACAGATTCACTCCACCAGTCTCTACTTTTGCTAAAATACAACATATGGATTTAAGAAGCTCACAATACTAAGATGAAGTAATCAAGGCATGAAGACCCAGAAAACAGGCTGGACACTGTGAATTCCAGATTTCATTTACCAAGCACATTCCTTAATATTGAGGAAAATATTAAGAGAATACCAAGTCGCTATCTGATAAGGTACAATAGAAAACACTCTGTGCTCTCTGCAAGCAACAAACATAATCCCCGCCCCCCTTGGTGTACAAACCTGATACAGTCAAGCCCATTCGCTAACAGGAGTGGGTTTTCTCATTCCTTCTTAGGATTTCAGCATAATATATAATTAAAAGGTGTATTACACATACAATACAGAGAATTAAGCCCTATACCAAGCTATGATTTCACGGTTTTAAAATTGAATTTAAAATTGTTCGAACTCACCCTGGAACCTGATGATGAAGGGCAGGTAATAAAGTGAATTATTATTGTTATTATTATTCCAGGAGTTCCTTTAGCCAGGGAACTGAAACTCTGGTAAAAAGAGAGGTGATTATGCCACTGAAATGGATAAGACAGAAGCCTCATGAAAGCTGGGATAAAAACAAGCTCATCTTTAATTTTTACTTAGCAAGGTAACTGCAAGGCCGTTCTTTAGGGAAACCCTTCAAACTCCTCAATAATTCACAATGTAAATTTATTCATTCACCTATTTTGGACTGCAGCTATTCAGAAGAGCAAACTGGGACTCTGTACTGCTACACTTAAAAAATGCTTCCAAATATAAATATCACAGAGGCATTAAAAGAAACCTTGCATCTTCATGAAATCTCATGAGGCAATTCAAATTTGACGGGCGCTCTCTAGAGGAACCAATGGGTTCTTTTGCTGTTGCGTTTGGAAACATCCCAGTGGCTTTTGAGGCCCTGGAGGATAGCCAGTCATTGCTCTAATACAGATCCTAAAACTCTAGTGCCTTAAAAAAAAAAAAAGCAAGAAACTCTCCAGCTAGAAGACTATACAATCTTTCTGCCCAAAGTGCTCTTAACCCTGTCTGTTCTGATAGGGAAAGCATATAACACTCTCCATAGCAACTGAAGGGAAATGAGCTGGCACAGTTATCCTCTAGTGCAGAGGTTTTCAACCTTTTTGAGTCCACGGCTCCTTTGACCAACTATATTCTTTCTGCGGCACCCCTATGGGACTCAGGTGCCCAGTTATGTCACCCCTTGCCTGCAGAGCTAGCAGCCTCTCATCCTTTTTAGAGGACCCTCCCTTGTGGAGTATTCCCTCAGCCTCTGCTCCTCTTCCCTCTCCTTGGGAGTCCTCCAGGCAGCTGCTGCTACCATCCCTGGTCTCTGAGCCGCCCCACCCCTGCCCCAAAGAAAGACGTCTCCTCACATTGCCCCACAGGGGCCTGGGACTTGTCTGTCCACTTGCTTGCTTACTCCTGACAACCAGCACCCCTGGCCAGCCCCCGAGGCACTGTTTGCCTGGGGAGCTAGTAGCCAGGGCTGCTGCAACAAACAGCTATGCAAGCCTTTGGAAGGCAGAGACACGAGAGTGCATGGGGGGGGGAGGGACAGGCTAGTGTTGGCCGTGGCACCCCTTACCATCATTCAAGGCACCCCAGGGTGCCATGGCACACTGGTTGAAAACCACTGCTCTAGTGTGACAAAGTTTGAGGGAACCCGTTATAATCTCTCAAGATAGCAGGAACACACCAGATAGCACCAATCTCACAGTGTCTATGCTACAGAACTCAGTTGCCTCACTCTTTGATCTAGACCATGGGTAGGCAAACTAAGGCCCAGGGGCCAGATTCAGCCCAATCGCCTTCTAAATCCACCCTGGGAACGGTCCGGGAACCAAAATGTTTTACATGAGTAGAATGTGTCCTTTTATTTAAAATGCATCTCTGGGTTATTTGTGGGGCCTGCCTGGTGTTTTTACATGAATAGAATGTGTCCTTTTATTTAAAATGTATCTCTGGGTTATTTGTGGGGCATAGGAATTTGTTCATGCTTTTTTTTTTTCAAAATATAGTCCGGCCCCCCGCAAGGTCTGAAGGGCAGTGGACTGACCCCCTGCTGAAAAAGGTTGCTGACCCCTGATCTAGACCCCTGAAATTTTAGGTTTTCAAAGTGAAAAAGGTGGGGGTCTCATGCATCACACCCATTTCATCCAGCTATTGGATTCTGGGTAAAAGGATTAACAATAGCCATCAAGGCAGGAACAATGGCTGGTCTAGACAGAAATCTCATTTGCACATACCACTGGACACACCTTCTGTAAAGGTGCAGACATAACTAGTTTCTGGAAAAGAAATAACTTCTCTTTTAAGCTTTATTTTAGGAAGCCAAACACCTCCATGATGTAGATGCAGCAGGCTTCACACCTAACACTGAGAACCAGGAGTGTCATAGCCTTACAAAATGAGAGTATGCAATATTTTACCTGAAAACTGTCTATTTCTTTCTTTATTCGAAACCATCAACTTCCAGCATTTCTAATGTTATACTGAGCTGCAAAGCCCCCTGATTGTCTAGGGGCAAAACGTCCAGTATCGGACATACTGGAAAACATTATGCGTTTGCAAGACTAGGACAAAATAGCAATGCCTAAGAAGCAATAGAATTCCAGGAAAAGCATTTTAAAGCAGCAAACTATAGATTAAGATCCATTATGAAGTAGAAGCTCTACTGCTACTCAAAATATAAGCCCGGTTTGCATAAAATGCTAAACCATGGTTCAGCATTATATGCATGAACCTCCACAAACCAAGGGGAAACGATCAGGTCCATGGATTTCTCTGCTCCTTCTGCAGGGTCAGGAAGTCTTCTGCAGAGCTTAGTTTCACTTTCAAAGAATCTTGGCTTTAGATCAAGTATGAGCTAAGCACCACAGTTTACATCAAATAATATGTCCTCTATCCGAGAATTTCAGGGCAGGATACACCAATCTTGTAATAAAGCCAACAATGAACCAGGAGTTGATAAAATAAATAATCTTAACATACAATTAACAGTCAATACAAATTAATCAGTGAGATTAACAATTACTAAAGCTTAAGCAAATAACCAAGTTTAACCTGGTGCCAAAATGAAAACAAGACTGATGCCAGTCAAATATAAGTGAAACAGACGTTCTACAAGCAGGGTGCCACAAGAGAAGGCTCTCTCCCACACCACACTATGTGCAACACACAAAGATGGGATGCTAACAAGGGTCAGAAGTTCTCCATCAATGCTTCCAGGGTGCTTCTTCAGGTATAAAGGCCCCAAGTCATTTATGGTTTTGTAGCTCATTGCCAGAACACTGGTAATCACTGTTAGCTGAAAGCCACAATACTCAATTCATATGTAACACAAAACCAAATTTCTTTGCAAGTGAATCAAAACCTAACAGAACACCTACCTTCCAGCCATATGAAAGGACGAGAAGAGCAAGCCAGCCCAACCTATCACATACATAAGCTGTGATTATTTTTATTAGCTACAAAGCAGCATGTTCAAATAGGAAAAGGAAATTGTTCCTCTTCGTACACTGAAATATATTTCAAGCAAACCTCTTTCTGGTTCTGTATTATCTTTAATCTGCACGTACAGTATTCAAATTCTTGTTAGAAAATAAATTCAGTATCACTCCCCTATCACAGCCTTAGCTGCAAGAGATTTATTGGTGCCAATAAAATGGGCAAGGACTACTATCATATATAATAATTAAGCTCAATGTATTATGTTTCTGTGGCCTTAAAAGGTACAACAGTATTAATTCTAACCAATGTGAATGGTTGGATGAGGGAGGAAGTGATGTTTTCCAATACTATCACATCTTAAACTATGTAAAGCAGACGTGGAGAACCTTTGACCCTTAAGATGTTGTGGAACTACAATTCCCTTCAACCCCAACCCCTGAACATGCTTGTTGTGGCAGATGGGGGTTGGAGTCCAACATTTGGAGGGCTACAGATTAGCCACCCCTGGTGTAAAGAGCAACTGGATCTTTTAGAGTTTAGACTTCCCAAATAGTATCAAACTTCATCACTAACAACTCAAATAACTAATGTTGAAAACATTTTGCTTAATTTAAACTTTCAACCACAGATGCTACACAGCGGTACCTCCAGTTACAAATTTAATTCGTTCCAGAGGTCTGTTCTTAACCTGAAACTGTTCTTAACATGATGCGCACTTTCACTAATGGGGCCTCCCGCTGCTGCCGCACAACTTCTGATCGCATCCCGGGGCAAAGTTCGCAACCAGGAGACCTACTTCCAGGTTAGCGGAACTCATTACACAAAGCATTCATAAGGAGGATGGTAGGTAACCCGAGGTTCCACTGTAATAAAATGTCAGTCATTTTAAGTGCAATATTTCTTTTTCTTTCAACAGTAAAGAACTGAATAAAGGCTTATTCAAATGGTTAAATGTGTTCTGAAGCATCTTCATATGAAGACACAATGCACAGCAGAACACCATGCATAAGTAAACCCAACTGTGTTGCACAAGCTTACTTGTAAGTGTGCAGATGATTGCAGTCTTAAATTACTTTAAGCTGATTTCTATAAACACGTCTATAGGTTTAATATTGCAATCCCATAAAATATCAGAACACTTAAATGATAAAACCTGGAAAAGCATTAAAAATAGTACAGAAGTAAAAAGGTAAATGTGCTGCTTTTGTACAGAAGGTATATAAAGAGTTTTATGAAACATAGCAACCACTAGATAAAAGTCCAGAGAGCACAACGTTGTATTAACTAACTTTGTTCCCACTGATGCCAAGAAAAAGACACAAGAGTTAGTAGAAGCTTTTGGTGAGGCTTCTAGGCCAGAGCCAAGTCAGGTGAACTGTTCAAGCCACATTTTCAAGACTACCAGTTTTTCTTTATTATTTGTAAGCATGTCTAAACAGACTAGTATTTTTAAAATGTTAAGGTATCGTGTTCAAAAACAGAAGTTATAAAAATGAATTTCAGGTAGGTAGCTTTTATATTTCTTCTCCAATAATTACTGGAAATGCTGAATATTAAACCTGCTAATTGCTAAACAACATTACAACACACCGTTACTGACGCAGTTGCTGAGTCATCAAAACAAAAACACTACAGAAGCACTATCATTTCTCCACTCTGCTGCATAAACTGAATACAAGGCAACCATATTTGCTTGCATCTTATTTTCTGTGTTCCTACACAACTTTCATCACATACTTATAGCGGTATTTTTTAATCAAATAACTTAATTAGTCTTGTAATCACCAATATAAAGAACCCAGTTATATGACAGGCCTATAAAATAATCAATTCAATCTCAGTGTAGTGCAAAGGGCTTCACAAGACCCAACGAACAGCAGACTATCAAGTCTTGTGAAGTCTTGCAAAGCTCTCCTCAAGACCAGACAATCAGCAACCACCTCTGATCAGCAGTGCCTTCAAATCTCATTTTGGCTGAGCCAGACTGTTACTTGCTGCACATCTGATTTGACTGCTGATTCATTGTATTTCTATGCCGCTTTCCATTCAAATGAATCCCAAAGCGGCTTAGAAACAGTAACAGTAACATCCTAGAACATCACAATTACAGCATAAATCATATAATTAACAAATCATCAGTAAAACAATCATCAGTATAAAATATATATATATATATATATATATATATATATATATATATACACACACACACACACACACACACACATATATATAATATTTATAATATATATAATATATATATTATAAATAAGCAAAACATCAGAATTACAGTATAAGTCATATTATACGTTTAACAAATCAATAAGGCATTTATAATTGATAAAACATTAACAAAACTGAAAAAATAAGCGAATAAACATACCTCACGTAGCTTATGTTTTCTAATTTTGAATGCCTATCACATGTAAACTACAATTTTGCATTATTTTAGTAAATAGTGTTTGTATTGCAAGCATACATTTCCTAAGATGTGACATCAGGTATAGGGCAAATAGGCATGGCTTGCCCAAAATGGCATTGCAAGTGAAACAGAAAAACCTGGTAGGCCTAATGAGGCCCATAGGCCAGAAGTTCCCTACCCCCGCATTAAGTTATCCAAACTTCTAATTTTATTTTTTACCACCTTATGTAGTATCCAGAAATGCTTTTATGCTATAAATACAATGGTACCTCTAGATGCGAACGGGATCAGTTCCGGAGCCCTGTTCGCATCCTGAAGCGAACGCACCCCGCATCTGCGCGTGCGCAGGTCACAATTCGCCACTTCCACACATGACGTCATTTTGAGCGTCTGCGCATGTGCAAGCGGCGAAACCCAGAAGTAACACATTCCGTTACTTCCAGGTTGCCACGGAGCATAACCTGAAAACGCTCAACCTGAAGCATATTTAACCCGAGGTATGACTTTAAAACAAATGCTCTCTATTGAAAGAATGAGAGTAGCATCTTGAATTCTCTCGAAGTAAGCCAATGCCAAGAACTAGGAGAAAGAACAAAAGCATCCTCTCCAAAAGTTTTGGACCTCACCAAATATAGCCTTCAAATGTAATAGCCAACTTGCACCCTGCATGGCATTTAACTTCCACAATCACAGCTTTACACACTTGGTGGCTGGCCAGTTAATATTGAACATTTTAAATGCACAAATGTGCAGACAGTTTAAAAGCTCTCCACACTGCATGGAGGGCAAAGGCCTGTTCAGACCGCCAGCTTCAGAAAGGATGCTTGGGTGGGGGCAGATTCAGGGTTATTTCAGCTTTACATGCCATACATGGAAAGTAACTCCCACAGAAGTTGCGAGTCAACTGTATATTAGTAATCCAAACCTAAAACAAAGCACTTATTTTAATACTTAGCTTAATAAGCATCCTCTACAGATGATCACAGCAGTTCTGTCACTGTTGCACAAGTAAACTTTCTCTTGGTAGAAAAATAGTGAAAGGATACCACTATGTTTTATCAGTGGCCGTAAAGACACCATTTACAGGGCTCAAAATTTGCATTGCTCTGGAAATGTGGGAGTCATAGTAGCACTATGTTTTCCTGTACTGTTGGGTTTTACAAAAATGCCTGAACCATAAATGTCACCTAACCCCGTGAATGCTAACCCAGTTTCCCAAGGGTTGACACCGACATGGAGAGAGGGCACAGCAAGAGCTCTTAATGCTATTCTATACTGAGGGGGTAGAGAGGGAGACTATAGATCCTATACTACCATAGTAGTGAGAGGAGAGAGACTTTCTGCAGGCAATGGCTTTTCCATCTGCCTTGCCCCACCCTCCAGCCCTGGGAGTCTATCAGACCATGACTTTTGAGAGCAGCAAAAGCAGCTGGGAAAAGAGGAGTTCAGAGATATTTTTAAAAAATAATTTTGTAAGTTGTGTGTCCTTGTTTCTCAATTTGATCATTTTACATGGTTTTGTAGTATTTTATGCATTGTGATTTGCTGTAATTTTTTACTGATTATAGATTAGTAATTCTTTATTGTAACTGGTAGGTGTAAACTGTTTAATTATTATGTGCTGATGTTTAATTTTACTATTTACTATTGGATTCTATAATACTGCTTTATTTGATATAAATTGTTTATTTTAAAGTTACTATGACTTTTTATATTGGATTAGATTGTTACTATTCATGTTTGATGTTTTATTATTATTTTTATGTGTGTTGGAAGCTGCCCAGAGTGGCTGGGACAACCCAGCCAGATGGGCGGGGTATATATGCATGTATGCATATATGTATGCATAATTAAATAATTGTAATGCTTCTCTTCAGGATGGAGAGACTCCACCTAAGCAGTTGTTTAGAAAACACAGTATATTTCTCACAGCAGCATGGGCTTGTTCTTCCCTCTGGCTGTGTACATACATGCTTATAAGTGCAGGGTAAAGATTAAGGTTGGGAGGAACTTCAACAGAGAACAGGCAAGGAAACGAAAAGATTCCCCTGAATTATATATAAGAGATATGCTTGGTACAGGCACCCTTGGTAAAGCAAAGGCAACAAATTTTTGCCAAGCATCTTCTAGATAAAGGTAAGAAATACAAGAAAGGAAGAATGCAAGTAGCCCAGTTTCTTTCCCAAGCAGTACATCTAGTCAAGTAGAAAAATAAGTGACATTTTAGTATTATGCTACCGCTTCCTACTTTCAACTATCTTACTCTGTACCAAGTTCTGCCTCACATGCATCTGCTGAAGCATTTCACCTTACCAGAACCCAGTAACATAACTTCCAATTCATGAATGGGATGATTTCACCATCTTCCCATGGCTCACTGGTATGTGTTAAATGTACAAGGCAGGAAAACATTCTCAGAATGCTTATTATTTATATTACTGAACCATGCACACAAGGCTGCTCAAACATAATACAGAGATAAAATAATCACTGGCAGCCACAATAAATTATAGCAAAACCACAGTCAAGCATTTAAAAATAGCAGCAAAACACTTGATAAAGTCAGAATCTTACACAAACTTGCTTAAAATAATCTTCATTGCCCACTGAAAGGGGTGCGGTGAGGTTATTCTGCCAACACCACATTTGCCTGGGTCCTCATATAACCTATTTCAGACAGCAGCAGAACCAAAAGAAATCTATGAAGTGGTGTTAAAGTCCCAAGCAGGTTCTTATGGAAGAATGTGATTCCCAATATAGTCTGGTCCCACATTATTTAGGGATTTTTAAAAGATCAAAGTCAGCACCTTAAATTGAACCTGAAAGCAATATAAACAAGCACTCTGTCAGAATCTGGGCAGCCACATTGTGAACCAACAGTAGCTTTCAGACTGTACTCAATGGCAGCTCCATGTAGAGTGCATTGTAATAATTCAACAGGGTGCTGACAAGAGCATGAATGATTGACACTAGGTCTAATTTCTCCTGGAAATGACACAGTCTGCATTCAGGACAGAATCAGTAAAGATCACTCATGGTCATTGCCTGCACCTTAGTATCCAGCACATATCTGAGCCTAAGAGAACTCCTAAACTTCAAACGTGATGCTTCAGTGGGACTGCAAGCACCTCCAGAACAGACAGAATACCTAATCCATGATTATTTCATCTTGTCCAGATTGTCAGTTTGTTCACCCTCATCTAGGCCAAAACAGCTGCCTGTCTACAATTCAGTATTTCCATTGCTTCCCTGAGATTAGAAAGCATCTTCCATCTGTTTCATGTAGATGTTAAAACATGGAAGACAGGCTGAAATACCATCCCACAGGCCAACGGTCATGTTAGCAGTCTCCCAGCATGATGTTCTGGAGCACACACTTCAGAACAGGACTCCCCACTCCTAACCTGGAGAAATAACCCAGAAGGATACAATGGCTGATGGCATCAAAAGCTACCAAGAGGACTAAGGGAATTAACAGGGATACACTTCCCAGGGGGTTGCGGGAGGGGTATATGGGGCATTAAGTGAGAGATAATACCTCTTGTAGGGGACATGTCATGCTCCTTCTGGGGTGTCTACCTTTGGTTCCCATCTGGCACTCTACTCTCACCTCTGGCTCCTAGAAGCTGTCAGCATGTGGCAGTGGCCACACCCCAGGAAACTGATTCAACAGGCCAGCTAAACCAGGTGAACTAGGGACTTCCCCTGCATGCAAAGACAGGCTCCAGTGAATTGAGTAGATGAGACCAATAGTGGGTCCTACAGTCAAGAAGGAGGTTTCTGCACGTGCTGCAGAGGGAAGTGAGGGGCAGATGGGACTTGTCAACCTGGGAAAGTAGCTCACCCAGGAGAAGGAAAACTCTGATCCTAAACCTCTGCTGCTTTGTGAGGTATCTTTGGCAGAATAAAAGGCTAAGGAATAAATCCTACACAAATCCAAAGTGAAGTCCCTAAAACAGCTGGATTGCACCTTGTACACCACCTCCTAGCAACCCTTGCAGCCAAGCTGGTGCCAAAGGTATTGCTTTAATTCCTTTAGACCACATCAGGGGTTCTGTCTTCTGGATAGCCCAGGACCTCCTCCATACACACTGCCCAGGCTTGTGCCCCTAGGTCACTTCTGTGTGGTTTGACATCAACCATGGAGGTACACTCCATTGTCTCCAGACAGACGAATGCCAACTCCCCGCCACCCAGTAAACAACCACTACCAAGGCAACCAAGCAGTTTCAGTTCCAAAACCAAGCCTGGAAACCAGATTGGAAAGGATCCCAATTATCAGTTTCATCCAAGAAAACCTAGTGCAATATTGTCATCACATGTTCATCACCTTAACCAGGTAAGGAAAATTCAATACATGATGGACCAAAGGTAAATAGGAATTTACTGGTAGATTTCTGGCAATCTGAAGTAGACAATTAGGAGTCAAATCACTGCTAAGCAATGGCAACAAAATGACACACACAACACAATTATACTGATAACATGAAGAAAAAGCATGTGGAGGGGAGTAAATTATGTGTTAGATGGTTTTTCACTGCAGCCTCCTTCAGGGTCATTAGAACTTCTCCCTCCCACAATAAAGGATTTACTATCTTATCTGAACCAACTGCCTGACAGATTTAATAAGCCAGGAAGGTTAAGGATCAAGAGTGCATGTGGTAGCTCTCATCTTTCCAAACAACTTGTCCATATCCTCAGGTTGCACAAGCTGAAAAGTACCCAACAAGACCAACCAGAGAAATCTTTTGTGACCACCACTCTAATAGCCACTGAATCAAAGTGTGATTATTTGTACTGTTTATTGCAAATTTGGCACAGACTTCTTCGCCCTGCTGGCAAGATTGCAACAGACCTTTTGCCACACAGGACAACTCCTCTAGACAACATAAAGCAGACACAATAGTGTCAGAGATATAGCATGTTATTTGCCATCAGTTTCTTACAGATTTAATCTGTTCTCCATAATTTGCTCTCTAGCCAACAACGTGCTTATTTCTTCACTTTCAAATCCTCAGAATACAGAGATGAATAGGGTTTATAATACAAAAGAGAGCATCTACAAACCATGATTTCCTATGGTTTAACCAAGAACACCAAGAACATTAGGAAAACCCCAAAATATGTCAGAAAGCAACCAGATCCGTAAAACTCATGGGGAAGGCCCATCTTAATAGCCCCCACCGCCATCAGCAGAAGGTAGAGGCTTAAACTTAATCAAGTTCACGAGAAAGGAATGAACTGCAACTCGATTTTGCTCATCTCTGTTCTAGCTTCTAAAACAGGCAAGGCCCTTGCTTTAAAAATTATTCCAGTTTAGACAGCAAAAATTGTAGATCTGTCTAGCTGTATTATTTCTTTATTGTCTATGTCCAACTATTCTACTATTAAAGGCTCACTCTCATGCAAATTTACCTTGAATTAGTACATTCAACATGGTGGGACTTACTTTAAGGTAAACATGCATAGGATTGTACTGTTGAATCTGCATGTCTATGCACATTTACATTAATGTATACTCCTAACTCAGCAGGTATTATTTTTTTTATGAAAACCAACACATAGGAGAGATAGACCCCAAGCCAATTAAAATGTCTTTATTCAATATCTGGATTTTAAACATAACATAACTTAATTTCTTTTAATGCAGAACTAAGCAAAATTATTACAGGCACAGCAAGCAACATGTTCTGCCAAACTTTTGTTAATTTTATTCCCCCAATTCATGGCCAAACACCCATGCTTCTGAATGGAATGATGGGAGGATGGCCACAGATGCCAACAGTATAGTTTTTAGGCATGCCTTCTGTTAGGCTGGTGAATGTTGCACCACACCCGTTTCAGGTCCTCTTTAATACCTACCTCTGTACAGCCATTCCCTTTCTCTTGCACAAGCTCCCTCCCAAACACAGAAAGATGTCTGTTTTTAGGTTCTTTCTTTTGCCACTGCTAGGGCTCAGCTAAATGGCACAACCTCCAAATATGCTGTTGACAATGAATGACATGTTTTGGACACAACATTAAATGATGGCTTGTTGAAACAAATCAGAATCAAACTGTGGTTTATGATTTGTAACAAAACCATGTTTAATCAGTGTTTCCCCAGTTCAGACATGATGTAGTGCAGTTAGCTTAAAACAGGAAACAGATGCTTCCAATCTCCTTCTCATAGCAATGCTGGAAGAGGGGTGAATTTGTGAGCTTGCAATTCGCTTCTGCTAGTTTATGTAGCACTTAGCATTATGTCCAAAACAACTGTTTATTTTGAGGACCTGTCTCTTGCAGTCCAGTTAAAATGTCAGGTATCCCCTCCTTCATCCTAGATTCAATGTATGGGCTACTAACTGCCTTTGTCTACTAAGAGCAGGGTACAGCTCCCTCCTGACCCAACACAAATGCACACATTGCTAACAGCCTCCATCACCTGGCTGTGCTAGCAATCCAATCCTATGCAGATTAGGTGCACCTGAAGCCACAGTTCCCAACAGAATGAAAAGCATAATAAAACATCAAACATTAAAAACCTCCCTAAACAGGGCTGCCTTCAGATGTCTTCTAAAAGCCAGACAGTTGTTTATTTCCTTGACATCTGATGAGAGGGCTTCCACAGGATGGGCACCACTACCAAGAAAGCCCTCTGCCTGGTTCCCTGTAACCTCGCAGGGAGGCAACTGCCAGAAGGCCCTCAGAGCTGGACTTCAGTGTCCGGGCTGAAGGGTGGGGATGGAGATGCTCCTTCACGTATACTAGGCCGAGGCCGTTTAGGGCTTTAAAGGTCAGTACCAACACTTTAAATTGTTCTTGGAAACGTACTGGGAGCCAATCTAGGTCTTTCAGGACCCGTGTGATATGGTCTTGGTGGCCACTCCCAGTCATCAGTATTGCTGCTGCATTCTGGATTAGCTGCAGTTTCCGAGTCACCTTCAAAGGTAGCCCAACGTAGAGCACAGTAGTCCAACGTAGAGCTTGCAGTAGTCCAAGTGGGAGATAACTAAAGCATGCACCACTCTGGCGAGACATTCTGTCTAATTCTGCATGGAATCAGGCTGCAAAGCATTGTTTCCTAGTTAAGGAGATGTGGGGAGTTCTAATTTACCAAACCGAAAATGTTGCTGGCAAGTGCCTTAGTTCAAGCCTGGATAGATCTCACAACTAAATACCAGTAAGAAGTCACACGTGGGAACTTAACCTTCCTGCCTGCCCAACTGTATTCCCAAATAACCATCTTTTCCTATCCATTTTCTCCAAGGGGGGGGGGGGAGTCTGGCAGCTGTATTTTGTTCTAAGTGAAGTCTCTGGTTTTCAAAGGCATATAGACAGCATTGCAGTAATCTAGTCTGGAAGTAACCAAACTATGCTTTGAGTAACGAATACTATGATTTCTTTAGGAAATCATGCTAGTGAACAAGCTGTAGCTAGGGAAAGGCACCCCTGATAGCCACTGCTACCTGTGCATCCAAGGAAAACGCTAAGTTAGAGAGTATCCCAAATCTGTACATGAGCTGCTTCAGAGGGACCACAACTCTGCCCAGAACAAGCTGCATATTCTGATATTGCAGGAACCCATGATCACCAGCATCCTGTCTTCCCTGTGTTTAATTAAAATCATACACACTCTACTCTACAGCTGTTCAGCAACTCAAGTGCTAGACACAAGTATTTTTATAAGCAGAAGTTTTGATTGCATAGGCAAACCTTGTCTGTTTTTAAGTTATTCTTCAATATAACATTTCAGAAAGGGTTGGAGAAAATCAATAAAATTTGGGGTGGGGGGCAAATTTCAGAAAGGGATAATTTCAAGACCATTTCTGTAGTACAGCACAAAATGCTTCTGCTCTTGCACTGGGATGGGTCAAAGTTTTTGGAAAGGGTCTAGATGTCCACTTGCATGACAAAGAATATTATGTCCTTTTTATTGTAAGTCAAATATGTTCTCCATTATACTGAGATGCACATTATAGATCATTGCAAAATGGCAGCTAGCACCAGAGGTAATAAAACATATGCTATATGAAATACTGAGAAAAAACAGAAACGCAATGGAACCATTCTGCAAATCTGCTAGGCATAGTAATACACTGGATTAGTTGAACAATAAGTGAAAGAAGTTTTGGAAATTGAGGCCATGATTTACCAGATACAGATGAGATTTCATTGAACCATTTCCAACATATATAGAAGTGATTTTACTACTAGTAATTAAAGAACTGCAAGATGGCAAATTTCTTAATTAAAATCAAACAAACCATCTTCGTTTTCAGAAACGTCAGACAAACCAACACGAACTTTTTACTACCGAGACTAAGCAATATAAACACACAGTTTTTATACAGTTACAGTCCACTATGATCCAATTACTTTAAACATATGGGGACAGTCCTGGAAGACAATTAGTTGAATTTCAATTTGGTTTTGAGCCTTAAAATCCACACGAGATGGTCCAGGAAAGCTTAGGGAACACCTTTTATAATATGAGACTTCTCTGGGATCAAGCCTGTAAACATCCTAACCAGATTCCTATTTTATATATATTGATCTCTCTGTGTGTTTAATAACTGGTAGGTTTAATGATGGTTTGGACATTATAATAGCTTTTGCTATATTACATGTTTAATCTCTGGAAGCTGTCCATTTTAATTTTATAGAAAAGCAATACATCCCTACTTCTATCTTGTATAACTTCTGGAGTTGGAAAAAAAATGGCACAGATCAATGTTTTGCCAAAGCAACAAATTGGCAGCTCTTCTTTTAGGGAATGCTTTGTAAGGGATATTATTTGAAATTGTCCTTAAGTATATTTAATACTCATACTCTCTTTGCACTGGAGAATAAAATACTGCTGCTGATCCAAAAACCTTGAAGAATGTGCAGCTATATTCACTGCTGTACTTGCCTATATGACCTAAAATGTGATTAGCAGCAGCCACTCTAAAAGTACTCATCACCAGAATGCTTCTCTCTAAACAAGTGCTCTTTCACTGCTTTTCTCTCTAAACAAGTGATCAGTCACCATCATCTTTGATGGACCAGTAACAATCATTAGTTAGTGCAACAGCACTGTATCCAACACATGTGCCTGCCAGATACAAGGTTTGCACATAGAAGCTTGTTTTTACTCGTGGATCAATACACACACACACCCCTTTACGATATTCAACAGCTACGCATCATTTTTAATATAAATGATGAGTTTTAAAAAATGAGATTAAAAACCAAACTTGGCATGAGCATAAACTGCTTCTGCTTTGGCATTGGGGTGAGGGTCAAAACCACATTCCAATAACAGCCCTCCACACATTTTGGGCTGTTGCTCTAGGATGGGCCTCTGAACTTTGTTAGAGGCTTTTTATGCGTATGGATGGCTGCTGCTTGAAAGGAGTCCTAAATTTCCCATGCATATACAGTGGTACCTCGGGTTAAGAATTTAATTCATTCCGGAGGTCCGTTCTTAACCTGAAACTGTTCTTAACCTGAAGCACCACTTTAGCTAATGGGGCCTCCCGCTGCTGCCACGCCGCCAGAGCACGATTTCTGTTCTCATCCTGAAGCAAAGTTCTTAACCCGAGGTACTATTTCTGGGTTAGCGGAGTCTGTAACCTGAAGCGCCTGTAACCCGAGGTACCACTGTACAGATAACTTGAACCTGAAATCTTGCCTTGGGACAAATTATTAAGATTTTCAAGAGGTCTACATCATTTCCCAAGATTAAGCAAAAATGTTAAGTTCAATGGCACAAAAAGGCATTGAGGCTTAATATTTCCACATTAATAATTTGTGCAGTAAGAGGGGGAGGGAAGCTAGGCTGAGAAGATTAGCTGTGTCATAAACTGAATCTTGAGTTTGAGAACTCTCTAATTCTAAAAGTTTAGCTTACAGAAAGGCAATCTCTATGATTCAAACTTTTTAGTCACTAAGTGACAATAGCTACAAAACTAAATTTGCCCAGCAGAATTAACTTACCTGATTTACAGAAAGCAAATGCTACATCTATTTTCCTGGCAGAATAAAAATACAAATAGCCCAACAAGTATTAATTTTGTCTATTTTGTTTGGTCTGTGCTTATTGGCAATTATGTCAATATGAATTTATGAAGATTACATTTGTCTTTGTTTTATAATTTTATTAATACTTGATATTTAGTTTTCAATAATTTTTAAAGGATGGAGTTAACTGAAGACAATATATTTTTCTTTATATGTTTATATAATCCATTTTAAAAATTAATTCAACTAAAGCAAAAATCGAAAAATGTCTGACAGCTAAATCCTAAACATGTCTACTCTTACAAATAAGTTCTAACAAGTTCAATGGATATAAAATTAGACTTAATTCATTCAAGTGCAAATGAAGATCAGAACAGCCATGTTAAACAACTTAACATTTCAAAGGATGACCTCCAGATTTATCAAACTTTCCTGCCTACTATTATACCTACCATTCTGTTCTAAATAAATTATGTTAAGAATTATGAAAAATTAAATCTAGCATTCAGCCTGGACACTGAGATTCAGCTCCGAGGGCCTTCTGGCAGTTCCCTCACTGCAAAAAGTGAGGTAACAGGGAACCAGAAAGAGGGCCTTCTCAATAGTCGCACCAGCCCTGGGTAACACCCTCCCATCAGATGCCAAGGAAATAAACAACTATCTTACTTTTAGAAGACATCTGAAGGTAGCACTGTACATGTATAGGGAAGTTTTTAATGTTTAATGTCTTAGTGTGCTTTAATTTGTTGGAAGCTGCAGAGTGGCTGGGGTAACCTGGTCAGGTGGGTGGTAAGCAAGCAAACAGACAAACAAATTAAATAATTATTACCATCATCATCGGGAAGCTAATCCACTAGGAAACCGCCCCATGATCAGGCATTCAATTAGTGTCTCTTGTGGTTTTTATATGACACAGAACTTTCAGGGACCCCACAAAGGTCTCCAAGAGGCAGTAACATCAAAGTCCTGCTTTTTTACACCCAACATGGTCACATACAAAGCTTCACACTCATTCCTGTCAACGAGGAAACATGCAAGAGCCCACTTGGGTACTACTGCACAACCAAATAAATCAATATACTTCTAGAGTGGCTGTTCAACCTAACAGCTTCTGCTACCTTCCCCCAATTTTCATATTTTCAAGTTTATACCCCACCTACCCAGTACAGTACGTTCCTTCCAAGTTCTAGCCAAGGAAAGGCATTTTCAAGAAAGACGTGCCCCTGCTCCAGGTACAAAGTGATCATACCAGTATCTCAGTTTCAAAATGGGGTTCAACATTAAGAGCAAGCCATTTGAATTGCAAGCAACTGAAGTTTAGGCCTCATGTTATTTTCTGGAAAGGATGAATACCCCCAAGATTAAATTTATTCTACTATTTTTAAAATGACAAGCACACATTTACTACCTTTGAGTTTACTTCCAAGCAAATTGGTCAAGATGATCTGTATTAATTTCTACATGGACTATGGGAGCAAGATGATTCCCACGGTGGTACTATATACAATGGTGACTGCCCACTGATTGAAGGGATCCATCAGCAGAACAGAGAGGGAAGTAATTTTTGGTGATCCTCCTAAATCTGCTGCAGAGAGTTACTCAGCTCCCTAAAAATTGTCTCCCTCCCCATTCTACTGATGCTAGCTAGTAAAGTCACAATTGCATACCATCCTTTAAAAATGAAGCTCCCCACAGAAACATTCTTGACGTTCGGTACTAAGATATTGGCAAATATAACACATTACCTTATATTTTAATACAGCTACCCCTATTTTCTAACCAAAGATGAACAAGTCACTGATATTGTGAATGAAGAATCCATGCAAGTCTAAACATCTAATACCTTGAAGCATGGATCCGTGACACAGGTGCATTTAAAAGGTAAATACTGGAGATGTGCATCATCTCTGTGTACCTCCAAAATTATGAGTCAAAAAGGGGTGATCTGTGTGAGCTTTTCATAGTCCCAAGTCAAACTGCACTGTTAAGGCACTTTGAGTCAGATGACGGACTCCCTAAAGTCTCAACTCACTTTGTGGACTCAGTTGCCCTTAAAGCACTGCATTTTTAAAGTGCATGTTGTTGTTATTATTATTATTTTAAGTACAGCGGTACCTCGAGTTACAAACGCTTCAGGTTACAAACTCCGCTAACCTGGAAGAGTTACCTCGAGTTGAGAACTTTGCCCTAGGATGAGAATGGAACTCATGTGCCAGTGGCGCAGCAGCAGCAAGAGGCCCCATTAGCAAAAGCACACCTCTAGTTAAGAACAGTTTCAGGTTAAGAACGGACCTCTGGAACGAATTAAGTTCATAACTAGAGGTACCACTGTAAAGCCAAGCTGACTAGAGAAACACTAAGCTCAGATGGGGAGGGGGCAGGAGGGCAAGGAGAATCTTTCAATTTGAAGAAGAGGTCTAGATTTTAATCACAATTAATTATTTTCCAGAGCACACCAAGGGGGGGGGGAATGTTCAAGAAAACATTAAAAATTGCTGCTCATTTCAATCTATGCTGTTTATTTTAACCTATGCTATTCCCCCCCCCCCCAGTGCCAACACCCCTTCTCTATGCAAGTCAATGGTGATATGTCACAAAAAGAAAAGGCTATATCCCAAAAAATCATTGATGGGGGCAGAAGCCCACCCCAAATCTACCAATGACCCTAGGTGTAATAAAATCCTTTCAGGGTGATATTTTACCCACTGCAGTCTTTCCTGGGGGTGTTTATCCACCACAGCTACCATGTTATGATTCCTACCACAACCACCCCAAAATAGTAAAAATCATGGCTTTGAAGGGGAATTACTGCAGCTGAAATTTGGCAATTTCACCCCCACCAAAGCGGGGAGCATGCCTGCAAATTGCAACCACACCTGGCAGAAAATAACAGGATTTTTTTCTTTTAACAAACTTTTAAAATTCCCGGATGCATCTGCCTCTAAATTGGCAGGCTTAATCCACTCTGGATCCACTCTTCAAAGTGTTTTAGAGAGTATCTTAGAGGGTATAATAGTCAATTCAACCTACAATTAGGAATGAACATATGAGCAGCAGATAACATTAAATAAAGGAAGATTTGAGATGAAATTGGGTGGAATAATAGATTATGCAGCTGACAAAAGACTACCTAGAATGCCATGGAGAGATGGACTGGGAAGTCCAAGGACAAGAGAATGAATATTGTATGATGTATTTATAAGTTGTAAAAATGCATTAAAAAATACAAAAAATCCACTCTGGAGGGGCTGCTGTGCCTGAAAACCCCATCCACTTCTGTGAAGGGGGAGGTGGTTATGGACATTTTTTGATTCCCCGTAATAGTTAATAGAAAGAAAAGAGAGCTTGATTTTTTATCATATCCAATTTAACAGAATTGGCGACTTCTCAAAGCTACAGATACAAGTTGAATTTTGCAGTTGCACACCTCTAGTAAAAACTACTAAAGGCCCATTACTCTACTATAGTGTGGCAGAAAAGCATCACAGGCCTGTAGGCAGATGCTGTCTTTACCAGATCAGCAGCTTCATCACTGCTATTCCAGTACTGGAGGAAAGTCCTAACACTACCCATGAACATCACAGGAAAACCTCGGGAACAGGGAGTAAGGGGCAAGGAGAAGGTGGGGACATGGGACATACACAATCCCATACAGTTTCAGAAGCAACCCCATTCATCCAGCATTAGTGAGAATCTCCAGGGGAGTATTGGAATGAGACTTTCTCTTTTTAGAATCAGACTTCTTGAGATGTAGTTACACTTCATGCAAGATGGCACTGTAGTTGTCCATTCATCACAACAGCTATAGATAAGAACAGGATTTGGGCTGTCAATTACAACCTTCAAAGTGCAGTGGCGAATATGAAATATAACAGAACCTGAAAAGTTTCTTCTTCTATAGCACTAGGTGCAGTCATTATCAGAGCATTTAACTACAACAATATGATAGCTGTGTGACAGTAAGGATACCCAACATGATAATTTGTCAAAAACAAAAACCTCCTCACTGTCCCAAGAAACTTAAATGCTGATTTGTAGTAGCCTTAGCATGAAAGAAAATGCTTCATGGAATTACTGTTATTTCTATACTTGCAAATCTCAAATAACCACGTAATAGGTTTTATTACAATAACATGGTATATAAATTTTGTTTAATAAAACCAAGAACTGTGTTAACTCACTGCATTAAAAAATTGTTTTATATGTTGTTTACTTCACTAATTGTTCACTTTATTTTATTCATAACATTTGTATCCCTATCTTTCGACATATAGCTCTTTTCAGAGTATTTATGGTAAACCCCATTATCTTCATAATTTCCCTGAATGCAAGGTTTGGCTGAGTGAGATGTGTAGCTTCCCAAGACCATCCAGCAAGCTTTAAGCTTGAGTAAGGGTATCTGAAGCCAGATACCTCCAGTACAGGGCCATTACACTACACTGTCTCTTTTGTAAACTGTACTTATCGGGAAGAACAAATTTTATATGAGGCACATGAAGGCCTGCCTACCAAAAGACACAGTATCATTTCCTTCAAACACCACCATGCTAGATTGCACTGGTGGGCAGTTTCTACAAAAAGCCCAGGTTTATGAAGCCGTTCTGACTAGACAACAAAAGCAGCCAGGTCTAAAGCCCCCTAACACAGGGATATGGAACCTGTGGCAGTGTTGTGAATGAACTGAAATAATGGTGAGGTAAATTCTTCACCTCAATGAATGTGCTTTGTTTTGGTGCAAGATTTATTTCAATTACTAGCAGTATTTTGAATACAAATCAGTTAAAGTTTAACTCACCACCATCCCTTTCTCTAACTCTGTGAGTATGCATGCTTTTAGCTTTACTGTGTCCAGTGTTGTCACCATACTTGTTTTCAGGGCTATCAGATCGCCGCAACATTTTATTTGGTGGTGAAGGGTCTGTGGTGTCTCGCATCTTGTCATGCCGGTGATCACCACCACTGGGGTGACTCTTTGATGAGTATTTAAGAGCCTGAAAGAAATAACAGGTACAGATTTCTCAAGCTGTGTTTTGAAATATATTTTTTTAAAACAGTTTGCCATGCAGCATGGAGAAGCTGCTGTCCAAAATAAATCAAGCCTAGAAATCCTCTTAAGCCATGGAACTAGTTTCACAATTGTCTAGATCCTAACTAGTGCTATGTCATTTTACAAACTTAATAGCAAGTAATTCTGGGTTTTTCAACCCTAATTCCAATCTATTACAAGCATTCTATTTCCAATACAGTATTGGGATTTATTCAGAGTAGTACAATTAACACGATGCCTATCTTCAACCAAGTCAAGCTCATTTTTGATGTGCTACATCATAACTATGTATATTCCATTGTGTTTAATGGGAGACTAGTCTCAAATAAGTCTTAAGTACCACCTTGGCTGAAACACCTTGGACTATGCATACTGTCCAACAGAATTATTTCATCTGCAGTATGGAGGATGTTTCTATTTATTTAATAAATGGAGAATATATTTTACCATATACAGGTGACACTGAAAAATCTTTAAGGCATTTGATACCAGTTTCAATAACACATCCTCTCCATTCCCCCCCTTAAAAATATATCCCACACAATCTAACCAAATAGTATATGTTAACCAGTGGTACCACTATGAACTGAGATTAATTGTTACACACTTTAAAGAGCGGGGAGATTTCTGGCAAAAGAATCAAAGGGCTTGATAGATTTTGTAGTAGTATGAGTGGAATGTGCAGCTTTGTAGCATCCATACCACCTTGTGTTATACGAAACACAACAGGGTCTCTCTCCATCTGCCCCTTTTCACAAGGCTGTGTGATGAATGTTTACATTAGATGTGCTGTCACTGACTGCAGCCTCCAGTTGTCAAAGCTGCCTCTTTCATCTGATCACTCAAGTATATAAGTGTAGTTGGTCAAATAACCCACTGTAAATGACCACATTTACACCTCCAGCCCTCCCAATCCTTTTAACACTGGGGAGATGACAAAGGGAAAGCCTCAAATGTTTCCCACACACACTGCTTCACTCCGGCCATTTCCCAAATTTCTTCAGGGGTACCTTCAACACTGTCCCAACTTAAAGTTTTCTCAGTTGACAGAAAGGGTTTGAGGAACTAGAATTCCCTTCGGGCTTTACTACAAGCCCAAGGCCTAGAACCTATCCCGGCTCCTATTTCGTCTCCTAAGGGAAGGGAAGACGGTCAGCGGCACTCGGGAAGCCTTTTCGGACTCGGGTTCCGGCCGCTTACCGCCATCCCATGGGTTTCGCTCGGGGGGAAAGGAAAAAAAGAAAAAACAATGCCGCCCTCCGCCTCCTGCGGCCCGCATCGGGCCTAGGCCTCTCGCTTCCTTGCCCCGCCGCCAAGCGCCTCTCGCCGCCTCAGCTCGCGCTCAAGCCCTCGCGGTCGCGGGGTAAGAGAGAGAGCAAGAGCCGCCGCCGCCCCCTTGCCCCCTCCCGGCCCGCCCCGCGCGGAGCAGAGCGAAGGGAAGCGGTTGGCTCCCCTCCCCCGCGGCCTGCAGCGGCGGCCGAGGCCTGCGCTCGAGTAGTTTCGCTCGCCCTCCCACACTCGTTACTGCCGCCGCCGCCGCAGGGGCCTATCGGTGTGTGGGGCTGCGGCGGGCGAAGAAGTCGGTACCTGGTAGGGCTGCGAGTCCCCCTTGCGGTCGTGACAGCTGGAAAGAGAGGAGAAAAAGACGTTACGTTAGCGAGCGACCGTTACTGGCCGTTGGTATTGAGGGTGGGGGGGGTAGGAAAAAGAGAGAGAGAAGAGAGAGCGTAAGACGGGAGGAGGGCGGAACGAGAAAGGGGGTTATTTACCCATCATTGAGTCTTTGCTTATTCCTCGCATACATTACCATCAATGCCCGGCCTGTGTGTGAGAGACTGAGGGGACCAGGAGGGCGCGGCCGGGCCACGGGCGCCGCCGAGGGGGGAGGGGGAGGCAGCGCTCCGACCGGGGACAGGGAAGAGGAGGAGGAGGAGGAGGGGGAGGGAGGGAGGAGGAGGCGGAGGAGGGGCGGCTCAGGCAGCTCGGCTGTGAGGGGAAGCCGCGCTCACGGGCCCATCTCCTCCTCTCCGCACCAGCGAGAAGGAGAGGCGCCCCCGCAGGACGGACACACGCGCACAGCGGGGCGCGGGAGGCACAAGGCGGCCGCGTCCCCTCCGCTGCTGCCACTGGCCGCCTTCGCTCGCTCGCTCGCCCTCCGCCGCCGCCGCCAACACCTCCTCCCCCCTCCCTTCAGCTACAGCTCCAGCTCCCAACACTACCGCCGTCCGTCTACATCCGGGAAACTCGGACGCCGCCGCCTTCGCTTAACGTCGGCTGATATCGGCTCTTTCCGCCAAAGCTCCTCCCATTCCATCCAGTCCTTTTTTCTTTTTTGAACCCACCCTCTTTCTTAAGTCTATGCCCCGCCTCCTCCCTTCCGGATGCTAAGACGCTTTCCTTCGGGAAACATCGGCCATTTCCGTCAGGCTCCGACAAGCCCTAGCCTGGGTTTGTGGTGTGTTTTTTTAGCCTCCCTTCTTCGCTCTCTGTTCGGTCGCTGCAGTTTCGGAAAACATCGGTAGTCTCCGTGCAGCCTGCAGCCCTCGCATTCGGGCGGCACTGGCTGTCTCCGTCACGGATCGCGATCTCCACTGCGACTATTTCCGCAAGGGGAAGGAGAAACGCCGCCACAATCAGTTATTTCCGTAACTTCCCCCCCTCTTAATCCTCCGAGAATGAGCTCCGGAAATAAGCTCGTAAAGTGGTGGATAAATTCAAGCTAGGCGGCTTGGAGTTTTTCTTTGGTTCGTGTTTCGGCTGAACGACGTTCTCTGCTGGGATAACAGAAACGCGTTTTGTTCCATCCCCGACGAAGCCGAAGTTAGTGGGCGTTACCGGAGGTGAGGATGGAGAACTAGAAAAATGTGGCTGTGAATGGTACTTTCGTAGAATTATAGAGTTGGAAGGAAGCCCGGGGGTCATCTAGTCCAAGTCGCTGTAATTTAAAACAAAGCGTCACCAGAACCATTTCTGCACTGTGTGTAGATTGTACAATAGTTTGAATCTCCAAGGAAAGCCTTCTGGGGTGGGGACACGAAAACGTCCTGTTTGCATGCCTATCCAGGAGTAAAACGCGTTTAGTTCAGTTATGCGTGTTCCCAGGTAACTAGGTAGGCAATAGGCACGCTTCGCCCAGAGCCCTCTGTGGGCACTTAAGGCGCGATCCCATCCCACTTGTCCGAGAGTGAGCGCCTAAGGACCTGAATGGGATTTACTCCAAGGTCCATCGAGCTAAAGCGGGGCACAGATTTCCGAGCGAGCCTACCGTCCAGGGCGGGCTTATGGAGGAAGAGATCGCCACAAGGGCGCCTTTCCTTCCAAAGAACTAAGCGCCGCGCGGCCCGCGCAACGCTTGGCTTGGGCGGGACTGACGCCGCATCGACCCGCCGGCCGTTTGCTTGCGGGAGGGAAGAAGTAAGGGCCGCCGCGGCTTCAGTGCTCGCAGTGCGCAGCCGCAGAGGTGCTCGCTTCCTTGTTTCCGCGTAGAAGTGCCCAGTGGCTACTGCGGGCCCCGCCCCCTCGCGGAGCCTCATTCCGAGCGATCCGCGGCAGGAAGGAGGGTGACAACGGAGCTATTCTGGGAGGCACGTGGGCGGCCGCTGGTCTATTCTGGGTCCGGGGGAAAACAGCTGCCCGAAGCGCGGAGGCGAAGCAAGGAGGGCGGGGTGCCCGGGAGGCATCTCCCCCAACTGGTGTCTGGGCGCCGGCGCCGCTTGCTTTTCTTTTGCAGCTTTAGCGGAAGGTTTTGAGGGGAGAGAGAATACAGTGGTACCTCGGGTTAAGTACTTAATTCGTTCCGGAGGTCTGTACTTAACCTGAAACTGTACTTAACCTGAAGCACCACTTTAGCTAATAGGGCCTCCCGCTGCTGCCGCGCCACCGGAGCACGATTTCTGTTCTCATCCTGAAGCAAAGTTCTTAACCTGAAGCACAATTTCTGGGTTAGCGGAGTCTGTAACCTGAAGCGTATGTAACCTGAAGCGTATGTAACCCGAGGTACCACTATGCAGCCAGCGCGAAGCTCCCTTTCCCCTTTATGGATGTGCAAGAAAGAGTAGGGATCTTCTCCCTCGAGCGCACATGGAAAGTTGCGCTTTCAAAAGCCAAAGGTACTCCTGCGCAGGCGCCTGTGCTGGAGGATCCCTCTAGCAACAAAATCAAAAGTAGTAGAGTCCCTGTTTGCAGGCTGAGATTGGATGGGTTTGGGGACTACTCTCTTGTGGGTTGCACAAAGGGCCTCTCCCTCGAAGGTGAGACGCCTGAGCCCTCCAGACAGAAAAGTTCTAGTAGTTGGCCTATTTCTCACTCCCCTCCTTTCAACCCCACGGTCAGAATCCTAAGGCAGGCATCCCGGAAATTGTGGGAGAAAAGTGCCCTGGAGACTTGCTGTATTACCCTAAGTATATTTATTTAGGAGTTAAGCACTGCTGAGCTACTAGTACAGGTAACCTTAATGATGCATTACCTTCTCTTACCAGCAAACGTACAAGTTAAGCAGGCGCTATAGAGGTAAGGAAGTAAATGCTTAGGCAGGCTTGGATTCTTCTCAACACCCTCAAACCCTGCAAATCGCCCCAGAAACCTTAATTAAAACGCAGTAAATCAATCCTGGATAGTCTGGTGCACATGTTGCCAGTGTATTTACTGTTCTAAGCCATCCCATAGCTAGAGAGCACCTTAATGACCCTATCCTAGGACAAATAATAATAATTTATTATTTATACCCCACCCATCTGGCTGAGTTTCCCCCGCCACTCTGGGCGGCTCCCAATTGAGTGTTAAAAACAATACAGCATTAAATATTAAAAACTTCCCTAAACAGGGCTGCCTTCAGATGTCTTTTAAAGATAGGATAGCTGCTTATTTCCTTGACATCTGATGGGAGGGTGTTCCACAGGGTGGGCGCCACTACCGAGAAAATCCTCTGTCTGGTTCCCTGTAGCCTCACTTCTCGCAATGAGGGAACCGCCAGAAGGCCCTTGGCACTAGATCTCAGTGTCCGGGCTGAACGATGGGGGTGGAGACGCTCCTTCAGGTATACAGGACCAAGGCTGTTTAGGGCTTTAAAGGTCAGCACCAACACTTTGAATTGTGCTCGGAAACGTACTGGGAGCCAATGCAGATCTCTCAGGACCGGTGATATGTGGTCCTGGTGGTACTCCCAGTCACCAGTCTAGCTGCCGCATTCTGGATTAATTAAAGGGAGGCGGAGACTTCTTATTAGCATGAGAACCTTGTGAGAGAAGCAGGGAGGGCAAGGGGAGATTAAACTTTCCTTCAATTCTTTCCCCTATTCTGTTCTTCCTCAGTGCTCCTCTCCCATGCCTATAAAGGCACATGCACTTATATAATTTCACTCCTGCATCATTCATACATGGAGTTTTGCATCTACACATTCTCTTGCACACAGCACTTAAGTGCACACATTTTAGAGCCGTCTCAAAATATCAGCAGCTTCATAACGTCTTGGAAAAGACCATTGGCCACTTGCATGTCAGAGTGGAAGAAGTTAAAGTAATGGCAAAATAGGATCCTTGGAAACTTACTCAGATGGTTTCCTTAATCACATTTTCTACAATTGCTATTGACGTTTCCATTATGTATGTGCTGGTTTTACAGTGTTGCTCAAAAGCACTTAGCAATTTTTCTTTCTTTCCTCCATTTAAATTATAAAATACAGGCAGACGGTGGTGAGATCAGCTGGTGGAAGCAGGGATCATTTCCTTCTCCTTTGAAGGGTGGAGCCAGCAGGATGAGTCATCAGGGGGCTGTTCTGCAAGGCTATAATAACGAACTTGTGAAACATATAGAAGACTTGTACATGCAAAGAGAAGAAGTGAGCAAGCAGATCAGGGAAGCGGAAGAGGAAAAGAGTAGGATCCAGGATAAAATCGAGACACTGACAAAACAACTGGATTGTGTGTGTGAAAACTTAGCACAGAAAAATGCTGCACAGAAGAAACTTGATGAAGTTCTTGCCGAAGCAGCGTTGACTTACGAGAAGATCTTGGAAAGCTCTAGGATGCTGCTGAACGTTTTGAAAGCCGAAACGGGGAATTTAGACAAAACGATAATGCTAAATAGAAATGTGACTGGGGATATTCAAACACTTGGGCTCCAACAAACGCAGCACTAGGCTTGGTGAAAAGTTATATACAAGAAATGTCCCTCTTTAATCTTGTATTGGTGGGTTTATTAATGTTTTTATTATGTATCAATTGTTACTTTTTATAAAGAATATCATGGAAGCAATAAACAAGTTGAAAATAAAGTTCTTTAAAACTTAACGGCTTATCCTAAGATTGTTTTAGATGCTGCAAGGACTACATGTTAGAGCCAACTGACACATGATCCAAGGAGCCTAGCAGCTGCTGGATCAGTGAGCAGAGTACTTGGGATTCAGCATACCACTGGCTGTGTTTAAAGCAACAGTGCAGCATCTACTATTTTTGGAACAGAACGGAAAGAATTGGTTTGTAAAATGTTTGCGGTTCCAGTAATGCGTCTGAGGGCGATGTGGGCAGGATTTAGGACATAACACTTGGGTAAATCCTGCAGGGCTTGTCCACTTTTTTGTTGCAAGCTTTTACTGTGTCCCTTCACAACTGTAGCCGATGGCAAGCAGCTCAGAAGACAGCAATGCCCCTCCTTGCAGAAAAAGCAACTGCAAAAAAAAGAGAGAAAATATGACAATTCTAGAGGCAACAGTTGTCCTCTTAACAAAGGTGTATATTGTTTGTGTACAATACAATTCATGTCATACAATGCAAAATGTTAAATATGTTTTTCAGGAGAAATACCCTGCCCATGGCAATTGTCTTAGTCCTGAATGTTGTGATTCTGAATTGGCCCTGCATCTTGAATTGTCCTTGGAGATCAAAAATTGTCCACCCCCGGAAAAGTGTGTGCAACGGTGAATAGGATTGTCCGAGCAATCGTGGTAGCAGTCATGGAATAACCCCACAGTGAAGTCTTGCTTAACAAACGTGAAGGGGATGTTACTGATGCAGGAGGACAGAGTTGACATTCTTGCCTGTATTGAGAAAAGGAATGCTGTATATAGATTAAATCTTAAAATGAGTATGTGGAAAAATGCACATGGAGGCTGTTTGCACATGATTTGTTTTCTAGGATATGCACTGAAATATCAAAACTGAATACCTGTTGATCATGTTTTTGAAGCCTTCAATTCCACAGTGTTTTAAGAAAAATACTTAAAGCAACCAATGAAAAAGTTCCTTGCCAAAAAAAAACCCTGATTATGCATAGATGTCATAAACATTTTTCTTCAACTCATTATATATATATATATATATATATATATATGTGTGTGTGTGTGTGTGTGTGTGTGTGTGTAACTTTTCATAACCTATTGCAAAAAAATACTAAGAACCAGCCTGATTTGTAATTCACACTTGCATGTATTATTGGGAAGACTAACTTGTAAAACACTGGGAGTGGTCGAGGGCAGGGGCGATGAAGGTAAGGAGACTGAAATGTCCTCAGATCAGCATATGACAGAGTAAGGGACTTCTGGCTGACGGCTCTGAAAAAATGGAACCCGCTGGCAGCATCCTTTCTCAAGTCAATTCTCAAGGTCCCAACAACTGCAGGAAAAGCTGCTCTCCCTCCCTATCTCTCTCTCGAGATATATATATATATATATATATATATATATATATATATACACACACACACACACACACACACAGCATTCCAGCATGCCAAATTGCTGCTGTCGGTTATGCCTCCAAAATATTGGTAGTTGTGGGCAGCAGCTATATAAAGAACTGCTGTCTAAATTTCCATTTTCCCTATTAATGGAAACTTCATTTTCTGCCTTTGAGGGTGATATCTAATTCTAGTAAAATTGTGCTTGTAATTATTGATGTGCCTGACGACAGGCAGTCAGGTTGTGCATCCAGAGCAGTGACCAGTGGAGGAATGACCGCTGGGAGGAGCGCAGAGAAAATAAATGCCATGGTGCATCTGCAGCAGCAAAATCAGACACCTTCACCTGCCCCACCGACAATAAAGCATGTGTCTCCCATATCTCTGTCTATAGCTTCAGGCACTGTAAGTGCTTTTTTAAAAAAAAGATTTTATATATGTAAGTTATATAGGTTGTTACATTGTGAATCACTTTGGGATGCCTTATAGGAAACAAATAAATGAAAGAAATACGTTTAAAATAATAACAATAAATAATATGTGCTCTGCTAGCCTGCTGTGGAGAATGAAGTCCTGTTGGCAATGTTGACATAAGAGTCAACTCTTCTCTCAACGTCTGGAAAAGGGAGAGCGCCACCTTGTCCTTCGCCTCAGGCAGCAAAATATATTGGTCCGGCACTTTTTGCAGAGAAGCGTCCCTTGAAGGATGGTGACTTAAGTATGCAGCCACTTGATTAACTCAAGGTATATTTTGATTTAATGAAGCACATTTAACCAGTCACTTCAAAACTTTTTGATTGATTGCACCCATCAAATCAAGCAGTTAGGTAACTTGGTTTTATTTTCCACTTCCAACTCTGCTCACAAGGAAGTGCCAATAGTGCATAATCCCGAAGCCTGTGATGTCAATTTGAAAACATTTGGTGGGGATGGGTTTTAGGATAAAATTAAGCCTCCTAAGCCCTTAGGTCTTCTATCTGTCAGTTTCACTCATATCATCTTCCAAAACTAATGTGATAATTCCAGTGATTATTTGCGAAAAAAGTACGGAGTTCCAGCTGCCTAAGCCAAATTTGTCTGCACCATAAATACGCTCTCGGAATCCGCTGCCTACATAAATAAGTCTGTGGAATAAAGTGTACTTACATCACTCATAAGCATCCTGCTGCTCTCTTAAGAAAGCCTTGCAAGACTCAGTTAATTTATCAAGCTAAATGAGGTCATGTTAAGAGTTGCGGCACATGATTACAGCAGCTGCTGAGTATCCCTCGCTGAATGGAGAGAGAAGCCTCTGGCCAACTGTCGTCTTCTCACCCCAAAGAAGACACTTTAGAGAGGGCTCTGCATGCTTCTCTCCCATCAAAGCCCTCTTCATTGCTAAGCTAAACAGTGTCAGCCTAGACTTGCTTCCTCGGAAGTTAGTCCCATGGTACCTTGCCCCCAGTTAAGCGTGCACAAAATTGCAGTCCAATTCAGTCACTTCCATTAGAGCAGGGTTGAGGAACTTGGGGGGCTGCCAGATGCTGTTGAAATACAATTCCTACCAGACCCAGCCAACAAGGTCAGGGATTATGGGAATTGTAGTCCAAGAGCATCTCAAAGACCACTGTGAACTACAGTGAGCCTCTTTCTACAATAAATAGCTATATTTTTTATTTTATTTTCCTTTTAAAAGAAGTTTGGGGCATTGAGAGGGTGGCTTGTGTGTTGCAAGAAGCTCTGTATCAACCATTTTCCTATATTCACTCATTAAAAACTACTGCAGCTGCAGGGTGGAGTAGGGCAGGCAAGGGCCATTTGCAATTCCAGAGTATTTTCCAGACTCGTTTTCAGAAAAGGTATGTGGATCCGTTTTACCAGTAAGCCACTTCCCTGGTCCCTATTATTTCTCCCTTGTTCTTTGTGGGTTTGTTAGTGAATTTCTGAAGTGAATAGTTTGGGCTCTTTATCTTTCTGGATATGATTTCATGACCATCCCCAAACCTGAAAACATTCTTCCCAAACTCAGACATTATAGAGTTGATTACAATCACTCTGGTATGATGAACTCTGCACATGAACAGAGATTGTTGCTTCACATTTTCAGGACTGAGTCATGCATGGCAAATATTTTCTGGTGTGTTTTGTTGTATCCTGACTCAAATGACACAATCATGTTTCCCCCTATTGGTTGGAATACTCTGTTCTTTTAATTTAGAGGAAAACAATGTTTTGGATAATGAATACTTAGATTTTGGGGGGAAGGAAAACTACATGCAACTGAAAGAAAGCCTTTGTTGTGTTTTAGAAGTTTGTTATGTTTAGGTTTTTTGAGGGCAATGGATGCATAGATGTAAATTTTGAAAACTTATGCTGTGTGTCACGGCTTAATTTCTAAATAAGAGGCATGGAGTCAATCTTGTCTGGAAATCATACTTGGGCCTCTTACATTGGAGCTGTTTCTCTGTCAATATATGCGGAGAGAACAAATGGGGAGTGGGATTTAGAGCAGAGGAGACAATGACACTCTGCACATGCGCAGTGACTAAATAAGTACTGTGCAATTTCTGTTGAGATGAAAACTGCAGCCCTATGAAATCAAAATGTTACCAGCTGCCACTGCCCAGCCCTGAGCTAAGATGTCAGTGCTCTGGAGCAGTAAGTAACAGATATATGTATTCCATCCTTAGAAGAAAGGCTTGCAAGGTGACAAATGACATTCTTATTTATAATGGATCTGTGCAATCTATATAAACAGATATGGAAACAATTCCAGTTTATGAAACCAGTATGTGTAGATAACATACGTTTTATACACTCTGGGCTCCATAGAATCTGAGATGCCACAAGAAATGATCAGAAATCCAGAGTACAAAGCAGAAAAACATGGCTTAAGAAACTATACTTTATTGAACTAGAATCATCCTGAAACCCAAAGCAGATGTGCAGCATGATTAACGATCTGCCTGACATGATGGAGAGATTAGGAATAAGATAGATGTTGGAAAAGGAGACGATAATCAGAAGAGAAAACCCAGAGAGGTTTAAGAATTTTTGCGACTGAAGAATTCCAGAAGAGAGAGATCTCTCCTTTTTGCATTGCTTAAGTGTTTTGCATATATCACAAAACAGAAAACTGTGTCAGTAAAATAACAGAAGTAGAGCATAAACTATCAGATATGTTCTGCAAACAGTGTTTTCTGTAATTATGGGGAGCAAGCATTGCTTCTTTAAAAATGGGGGCATTGATGGTTAAAGGCAAGAAGAGCAGTGCTCAGATCTGATCCTGAAGATAATCAGTGCATAAAGAGAAGAGAAATTGCAGTGGAATATTTTCTTATTTATGCATTTTGTTTGATATCCTTTTTATTTCAACAAGTATGACACAATTCAGATATGAAGAAATTATTATTATTATTATTATTAAATATATTTATGTCCCACCTCTTAATCATGCAGATTCCCAAGGGTACTGCAGAATGTCAGTATATGAAACCAAAACACCTAAGCAAAGAAAGAATAAATCAATCAAAATGCAGAGTGGCCACAGAATCAGATCATGTTAAAAGCTGAACAGGGTGGGTGGGAAAGGGAAGTATCTTGAACTGCTCTTTCCCAAAGATCTGCAGAGAGAG